TTACCAGCTTGTTAAACGATTGATATTTTGGGTTTGTATCTCTGTGAACCCGGTGCACAGTTTAAAACATTTCTAACAAAATTTAAAGCTAGTTGTCCAATTATCTAAGTCTAAAATAAAGAAGAAGAACTCTCTAAAATGTATTTTTAACTTCTTTGTATGGATTGAACCTTACCAACAAGTTTTGTAAACTTGGCGAGGCCAAGTTGTTGTAATATCTTGAACCAATATCTTTGGATTTGAAAGAACCGCAAATCAACACGTGAATAACTTTGGATAGAAAGCTGATACTTTTAGCGAATTTCCCATATAGGGAATAAGCTATTACCGTAGTACTCATGGTAAGACCTGGACCCGGGACCGATTTACTTTTTCGTTTTGAGGTCCCTAGAGACCAAAAAAACCATCCATTCAAATTCATATATATATATATATATATATGTCCGTTAGTGCGATAACTCGAGCAAAATTCATCCGACTTTAATGAAATTTGGTACAAGCGTGTCAACCTACGTTTATTCGAACGAGTTCGCGAACCAGCGTGATCGGACTATGGGAACAGGGGTCTATGGGGGGTTTTATGGGGTAAAAATTGGGTTTTCCCATTTTTTACCCTGAAAACTTAAAATTTAGCAATTTCTTTCCAAACCATTTTGTAGAGCTTAAAAAATCAAATAATTTAGTATATTGAAGTGTTATTATGCGCCTAATAGTTACGGAGAAAATGCCAAAAAACTGTAAATTTAAAATTCTCATGTTATTCTTATGGAGAATAAATAAACTGTTTTAGTTTGCTTGTTTATGAACATATTTTGATTAAATTTGGAAAATGCATTCATTTCATACTAAACTATTAACATTTTACAAAAAAAAAACCTTTTTACCCTCACTGTTGCAGCAAACCTAAGTACTCGTTAAACTAATGCTATTTAAATAGGGAATAAATGTGATATTTTAAAGGAGACATTTTAGTGTAAATCCAATCAGGCAAACGGAAATTCGCTTAGTATGCAGGTTTGCTGCGGCGGGAGTATTTTATTTAAGTGTTATATCACAAAGAAAATATGGATACCTACATGGACACTCTTAATTCTGTGGTTGTTGTTTGAAATCCAAATGAGAATGGACTAGCGTTCCCATTATGTTGAAATTACTAAGGAAAAACACTTGTAAAAAACTTGTAAATTACGATAGAGCCATACCGGTCTTGGAACAAAGCAACAAAACTGGGTTTAATGCATTGACTGTAGAGTTCTATTAGTCAAAGCAAAGGTGTAAAGTTTTATATAGAAACTGTAACTGCGATTCTATAGAAACTGCCATGCAAGTATTATTGGACCAGAAATAATGTTTAGACATGTTTAATATAAAAATGTACTTGAAAGCACAAAAAATACGTCAAAAAACACTTATAATAATATATTTACACTTATAATGTTTACTCACAAGACGGTATACAGGGTGGCTGAAAAGTAACTTGCACCCCCCCTTAACTTTTCAACCATTTGAGATATTTGAAATCGGTTTAAGGCAACCTTCTTAGATATGAGGGGCTACAATAATTATGGTCAATTTTGAAAATTTTGCCCTTAGGGGTAGCGGGGGTAGGGGGTAGCTCAAAATTTTCAAATGACAAGTATAGTCGAGTTTGGTATCATTTCACAGGTCTTGACGAAACATAAACATTGACATAAAGAAATCTAAAATCCGCTCACTAATAACAAAATGGCGCCCTAAAACATTTCAAATCCAAATAACCATGAGGGTGACAAAAAAATTAAATTGCACCCTCTTTAAATTTTTAACTATTTGAGATATTTGAAATCGGTTTGCGGCAACTTGTATGGATATGAAGGGCTACAATAATTAGGGTCATTTTTGAAAATTTTGCCCTTAGGGGTAGCAGGGGTGGTAGCTCAAAATGTTCAAATAACAAGTATAGTCGAGTTTGGTATCATTTTGTAGGTCTTGACGAAACATAACAACCAATATAAAGAAAATATAAATCGGACCATTAATAACAAAATGGCAGCTAAAAATGATTGAGACAATGGTTATTTAAAGTAATTTTGAACTGCCTTTTTGTTATTAATGGCCCGATTTCTCTTTTCTTTATGTTAATTGTTATGTTTCGTCAAGACCTACACAATGATACCAAACTCGACTATAGTTGCTATTTGAAAATTTTGAGCTACACCCTACCCCCGCTACCCCTAAGGGCAAAATTTTCAAAACTGACCCTAATTATTGTAGCCCTTCATATCCATACAAGTTGCTGCAAACCGGTTTCAAATATCTCAAATAGTTAAAAAGTTAAAGAGGGTGCAAGTTAATTTTTTTGTCACCCTCATGGTTATTTGGATTTGAAACGTTTTAGGGCGCCATTTTGTTATTAGTGAGCCGATTTTAGATTTCTTTATGTCAATGTTTATGTTTCGTCAAGACCTGTAAAATGATACCAAACTCGACTATACTTGTTATTTGAAAATTTTGAGCTACCCCCTACCCCCGCTACCCCTAAGGACAAAATTTTCAAAATTGACCGTAATTATTGTAGCCCCTTATATCTAAGAAGGTTGCTGCAAACCGATTTCAAATATCTCAAATGGTTGAAAAGTTAAGGGGGGTGCAAGTTACTTTTCAGCCACCCTGTATATAAAAGATGGTAAGTAGTGATCAATTTTGATTGGACACTCAAATAAATTATTATAAGTGTTATTTGACGTAATTTTTGTTTTATTCATTATTTTGCCTCCTGAACTGTTATTCAAAGTATTATCTAGGTTACGTACCTTATACAGTCAAAACAGTTCTGAATTCAGTCACTAAAGGACGATGCGCATTTCAGAGCTCTATCTTCAGGTCCGTGGATACATTTATCAATTCATCTTGCAGATTCGTCAAAATTTTTAAACATTAAAAACACATAACACTAACACATAATTCATTACATTTATACAGGTACATGTGCCGGCCGGCTATAGATCCCGACTGAGGAAAGAGTTGAGTAATTTTTGTGCTTTCAGGTAATTTAGTAACACGTACGATGCTGATTAAGAAGTTTAAAACGTACTATCAAACTTCTACGCACATTAGAGTAATTATCTAGTGAAACAAATACGTAACACCCGATTTTACCATACCAAGGTGTATTCATTCAAATTTAAATAATAGTAAGTCTTATTTTCAAAACCATATAGATATTAAGAACGTGAAAAATACGTCAGAGCAAGTAACAATTACGAAAATCGAAATAACTTTCTGCATCAACCCATTTATATTTTGATATTTACGCATTAATGAAATCACGTAAAATGCCAAGAATTCTAATAGGCATACTATTTAGCCAGCACTATTACTAAAATAAAATGCACCTATTTTATGTTGCAGCAAATCTGTAGACTAATTACATTACCAGCTTTGGTAAACTAAAACAGTTCTTACTTACTTACTTACTTACTTAGCACAGCTGCAAAATCATAGTTCATATAGTAATAGCATTTATAGGCAAACCCACGCCCATCAGTATAACCATAGGCCTATATTATTTAAGTGTAGTAGCTACGTGAGTGCTATAAGGAACATAACAATTTTATTGAAACCTCGATGGAATAATTAAATTTGCCAAATGAATTTATGAAGATATGTCACAAAAAACTATTTACAGGCAAAATCTACTCAACATGCACGCATTTTTTTCTGTAAGAAAATATCATGAGAGACAGCATACTAAGTTAAGCGCTTTCAATATTAATTTATAAGTAACTAATAGCAAAGCGAAAGCGGGATAAAAATGCAAAAGTCTAAATTATTTGTCTTTTTAAAGCAGATTTGTTGGCAAATTTATATATAAGAAAAAAACTGTTTCAAATATAAACAAAAAAGTAAAATACTGATTTTAAGACCCCTCCCAAAAATATCCCCTTCCGTGTGAATGTTAACTAAATTTACACTTTATTTGTACCTATTTGGAAACCCTTTGTATATGAAAAGGTGATGGTTTCGTATATAAATAATAGGTAGCTGCCCAGTTTCTAAACTAAATTTAACATGTTTAATTAATGCAAAGCTTAAGTACAAAATCAGCTCACAATATTTTATTGTCTTAAGTGTATCAATTAAAGGCAAGTAGCAATGGACCAAACAACGTGTAGGCTTAGTGGTATCATATTATCACAGACTATTAGGGATATTATGCACCACGATGAGTTACCTACATAGATAGACTAACCACTAACGAACACAAGTAGACTGCTTATCCGATTAAAAATTAGTTTTTCGTGTCTAGTTCATGTCCGGCGACACTGATCGCTAGTGTCGACGACAATTTGTTACTGCTATATTTGAGGGTTAATTTTATGATTTATGCTTTACTGTTTCGTTGTGTAACTAGGGGACGGTTATTTTTTATGATTAGATAGATTCATTTGGCTAAACGATGAGGTTTTAAATTACTGAAATAACAAGAAACAAATAATTGTTCTTTTTTTACTGTAGAGGTCGTGTTTGGTTTACAATTATTGTAAACAAAACACGACCCCTACAGTACACCGGATGGAACTAACAATAAAACTGTCTCCAGCTGTTCCTTAAGGATGAGAAAATTTACTAAAGGGAGTACGTTTTATCATAGATAAAACATACTCCTCAAGTTTTATCCATGATGTGAAGTTGTGTAAAGCAAGCATTGAATCAATAGCAAAAAAATCATGAAAACCGCAAGAAAATGCAGTTACTTCCCGGTCGCGCTACTAAAACCACAGAGTTATTTACAAACGTAATCAACTCTAATTTGTGGATGTCTTTCTGATTACTTTAATACCTGAAGGTGACTAAATTACGTCAAATGTATACGGAAGAATTGCTTGCAGTGCGTGGATTTAGCTTTAATTTCCTTGGATCTAATTATTGCTGAGAGGGGGGAGTTAACGCCGCGTCGGCGCTGAACTGCGCCTGTGATGCGAGGACGCGAGACGCGACGCGCACCGGTGTTTGTGTTTTGTTTGTATTCGTCAGTCCGTCGCGTCGAGTGCAAGTCCGGGTTGTCATCCTACTTCCTACTCTCTGTATGTCACCAAACTTTTCAACTTTCTCTTCGCACCCACCTGTTGCCTACGTAGTTTTGAAACTCAAGTATTTTGTTTGAAGTGATCTTGATAATTTCAGCTATGAGTGCAAGCGGTAAGTAAAAATTATTGTAAACTTATCATTCAATTGTTTTTGTGTCTTGCCGGTATTGAGTAGTAGCCTAACTAAGTTCAATTAGGCCTAATCCGGTAAACAAATTTGAGTAGGTTGTGCTTAAATTCGTTTTCTAGGTCTAGTTTCTCTCAAATTATATTCTTAAAACTTATTCTAAATCACTTTAAGAGTACTCAAGTTGAATGACCCTTGTTACTGCTATGTTTGTTTGTATTCTATACAATCACTTAACCAAACTTATTTGTTCAAAAACATAACCTCAAAAGTAGCTAGCTAAGGAATGTAGAATAGAATAGATTCTAGGCCTAGGTCTCAAAAGTTAACCTAGGCCTAGTCACTGTTTGTATGTTCAAGCAAATGTATTTCTAACGGTGTAAATAACATTTTATGAATTCAGTTGCTCATATACATGTTAACTATTGGTTATATCAAATTCAAGCAGGTCAATAATCAAAAGAAATTGGATAGCTTACTAGAATAAAATTAATCAGGGCCTAGGGCTACTCAAGTTCTTGTAAGAAATAACAGAGTTTAGAAATATGTAAACTATTATTATTATTGAGTACTACAGTGTAAACTTAAAGTATGTTGGTTTCTAAGCTAACCCTATCATGGTTTGGTACTTAGTAATCAGCTGATAAGCCATCTTGTTTCTAAAGTAAGTTTTTGTGTTTTCTATCAAATAAAAACTGTTAGCCTTTAAGATTTTCATAACATTTTGGTAATACATTGTGTAACTTATTTTTCTATGGTCAGTTGCTAAATCATAAAAGAGAGTTCATTGCATCAAAATAGAGCTTTTCATGTGTCAACAACTTTATTTCAAATTACCTAATCATTTTTTAAGTTTATTTTTAACTAGGCTAACTTAAAAAACCATAGGCCTATAAAGTACAGTCCGTACGCTCCAGCATAAAAATGGGTATATAAAAAAAGGTTTGACATTTAGCTCTTTAAACTTTAGCCCTTAGGCCTACCGTATTTTATTCATTTTCTCATATTGTTACGTGCATTTTACGATCCTACCATATCCTCTAACTGTTTTGAAAATAATAGTTTGAACCCTTAATTTTTTCATGATGAAATGTAATAATGGTGTAGAAGAGGGGACAATCATAGTCAAACAAGTTTTTATTGCAACCAAATATTATTTTTTATTTTACAAAAGTATAATAAGTTACTTGTAAAAAACCATAGAAGCAGTAAATATTGCATGAATTAATACATTTGGGCTAACTTACCGGTTTGTAGAAAATACTGAACAAAAAAAAATTATTAAAAACTTTCTTTAGTAATGTGTGTTTTTCTTTAAAAATGCTCGTCCAGTGGTTGGTTTAGAAGTCCTTTTAAACACACTTAACAAATATTTTACATTCGTCTCTGGAACATTGGTTTTTTTTTTAGGTTTTACACTTAAATTTGTTCTTGGCGTCTTTTTTACCCATACAGACAGTGCACCGTGCCTTTTTACTGGGAGGCTAGATCGGTGGACTCTCTAGTTGGACATTTCCATTCAATTGGTTTAGTTTTTTGGCAAACTGTCAATACTATTGAGATTATAAATAGGTAATAAAGTTATGATGTCATTAATACTAATTATGATAATAAAACAGAAACACTACTACGCGGACGGGGGTACATTAGACCCCCCAATGAACACATTAGGCCTACTGGTACCGGTAATACAAGCATGTGCGTGGGGGTATACCAGACCCAGGGTGGTGATAACAGGTCAATGGCTCGGTCAAGACTAACTACCCTGCAGACTTTGAAGATGCTACTGTTATGTTCACTAGGGTTGCCACCATACTTGTAAAATTACGACAAAATTACCATACAAGGGCGTATGTCATACCCCCGCGCGCACGTTCAAGGGTTAAATTAATAAGGGTGTGTTGCTAGACTTGTTGTCTAAGTCTTGGACTTTGGTGCGAAAGGAACGGGTTCGATTACTGGGATTTTCTTAAAACTGATCGGTTTGGACAGCTTTTCCCAAAAAACGCATGCTACCAATAAAAAATGTGTTGGCCAAAAGATTGTTACGGTACCGTCTATATTTGTTTGTTACAGTATTAAGTTTTTAGTCAGATAGGTATGCATATTTGTGTGTAAAAACTGTTTATTACAATTTCAACAGCCTAATACAGTGGACGAGTTCTGACTTTACATGTGTTCCAATTCCAGTGAAGGACAAATGATTCGCAGAATTGTTCAGTTTGGTCTTGTAATATAGAACCGATAGTATACAGAATCTCATGCTGTGAAGTCCCTTTGAATCAAAACTCATCCCTTCAATCTTTGTCTGTTCTGTTCTGAATATCTGAAACTATTTTCTATGGTTCTTACCGCCAGCAAATTTATGTACTTGACTGATAGTAAATAGCTGTAGACTAAAAACTTATTTTTAATAAATGGAACTTGTTTAAGATATTTTTTAGATACCGGTAATTTTATTTTATTTTAAAGACAACTATTCTATTTTTCAAGTACCGGTAAAACTATATTTTTTACACACATAGGCCTACTTGAATTCAAAGAACTTATTATTGGTCAAAGAACACAAAACCTTTTTAGGAAGCCATTCATAATATGTAGGCCTACATAGATGACTTCACACAATGACACAATCAAGTTCAAAATTTTCACTAGATCCACTCTGCAACATCTAATCCCTGCATGATTAAATCATTTACTGTCCATCAAACATACAATACACAGACAAAAGTAAATTTATAATTAAATAAAAATAAAACCCAATTCAGAGTCTTTACATGAAGGAAAATTTAGGAGGCTAGGCTCAGAATAGACAATATATAAAAACTGTAAAAAAACAATAGATCTAATTACTACAATTATCTCTTGGTGTAGATACCCAGAATCAACTTAGACTCCCCTCAAAAAATGTTAATTATTTTAAAATAATAAGCCGATTGGGTTTTATTTCTGACATTTTTGCTTAATTGGTTGACTGTTTTTTGATCAGTCAATCCATCAAAACAATTTTGAATTTCATGCTTTCTAATTCCTTGATTATGTACATGGTAGGAGGGTTAACATAAATTGACCCCGTCACAAATGGACTTCATCCAGTTTTACTGAAGTTCCCCCTCACTCGGTTGGAAGTTGTCATTGCATCTTATGTTGTACCTATGGATTTGACTGTTTTACTTATGTGCTCTACATGATTTTTTACAATCATTAACTTATAAGTTGATTAATGTATCACTTAGTCCATACAAAGTGAAGAGATTTAAAGCTAACAAAAATATATTAACAACACTCTCTATACAGTACCAGACCTTGGCTTTCAGTCTGATTGCTCTATTCTATAGAACAAACATTTTATGTAAACTACAGTCAGGAGAACTTCCCCAGGAAACAAGGCCATAGGACAAGAAAGGGAATATTACACCAAAATAAACTATTTGTCATGTTTCTGTATCTAATTTTAAAGATATTCTCCTCAAGAGGTTGATTCTGTCTTTACATTATATGAGATTATGTGACTCCCAAAACTTAAGGTCTGATCTATATAAAGTTTTAAACTTTTAAAACACTCTGATCGGAGGCTCATAATTGCCGGACAATACTCTAAGTGACATTGGCGTTAAACAAAGTTGCACTTACCCTTGCAAAATGGGTGTTCAAGTTGGATATTCTCTTTATAAGAAATGCATGGCCAACTTCATTGATGAGATTTATTTAGAAAACTGTAGCTTTGCACTCTGCACCTTAAATACATTTCTTACCATACATTTTTTATAGCCTACATTTAATAACCTTTTGCTGAGTTGGAAAACTCACATTTAAGCTGTGGCTAGGTACAGCTGCAACTGTGATAATCTAAAAGGTACAGCAACCAACAAGTGTCACAGCTACAATGTTAACTACCTTTGCATAGGCATTATTAATATATATATTTGCATAGGCCTTTTGTGAAAAATAGGTACCCAAGGACTCACGGGGTGTCCGGACATAAATGTTAGATAAAATTATCTGTCAAATTACAAGATAATGGTGATTTAATTATCCTTATTTGATGTTGCATTTTTGGCTTCATTCTATTAGCCCTATAGTTATGTGTCAGTTTTCAGTACCACTTTTTCAAAGCCAAGACTAGTCTTGGTTTTCAAATTATCATATTAGTTAAGTTATTTGCAATTAAAAGTGTGCCCAGTTGTACAGAATTTTTCTTGTTCTTTAAATGTTCCAATGCACTGTATTCTAATCATTTGCCTCAAATTCGATTAATCAATTTCCAAAAATATATCCTAATACTGTAACACTTTAACACTTAATATTTTAATACTTTTAATGAAATGGCGACCATATTTAAATTTTTTTAATATATTTTAATTTATTTGTCAAGGACTGTTTTATGGACTTTGTGACAGATATTAGGTTGAGTGATGACATTTGTGATGAACTTATAAATGTGAGGAATGTTGCACGGAGTCTGGAGCAAGTGTAGTTTCCCAGTGTCCCTGCGTCAATGTGCGTTGGAAGTTCCACAGCAAGTGGTTCTGCTAGTCATTCCAGGGCCAAGGTGAACGGCCAATAACCTTCAAGTTTACATCTGCTCATACACCTCCGATTCAAGGATTTCACTAATGCCTTTGTGAAGCATACAAAAAACACATTTGGACTTCCCATGACCTACTTATCATTTTACCTAGCGTTTTTGTTTAGTTCCATTACTCAGCCTTGATGTTACCAAGAATGGAAGTTTTTGCTGACCTTTCATGAAGAGCATTGGGTAGAATAGTTGCAAAATGTGGTCTTTTTTTTCAAAAATGTAATAGGCCTATTATATAGTAGTTTGAATTGTTGATATTATCATACCTGATTAAAATGAACTTTAAGTAAGTTAGTTTTACTACACTAAAATCACAGCAAAAAATGTTAACCTTGTAAAATTTATTTTTGATTTAACCTTATGTCAAATGTTAGTAGTTTTTTTTTCCTTTTTTTCTAATGATGACCGATAAATTCTCTGTCATATAATTCCCCTTGCCTTGTAGTTATATGTAGGATCTGAAAATATCTTGCAATAAAAGGTCTAAGACAGTTTAACTAAAGCACTGCTGACTTACCGTAACAGATTATCTAACATAACATTATAACAGTTAAAACTACAACAAATTCAAATTGGTGTGGAAACTGGTATAACCAAACTAAATTACAATTATTACATAGCAACTCAAACTTTGATTATATATCTTCTGGTTGTTCTTAGTATGCAATTACAAGCTACATTTAAATCCAGATTACTTGTAAATGTCTGAGAACATACCTTGATTGAATGGTTCTGTGAAAATATTTATCATTAACTTACGTTCATACCAGTTTAACTGGTGTGATGACGCAGTAATCTAAAATATGTGTGTTTTCCATTTTTTTCATCTTGCCAGTTTTTTGTATTTCCCACAGCTACTTGATCCCTTAACGAATCATAAGATGTTAATACGTTGTTGAGAATGTTGAGTTTTTGTACTTAATAAAATAAAAAAATGTACTAATAAGTAATTGGTATGGGGATCATCGCAAAACATTTTTAACTCATACAATTTTAACAACATGAGTAATTTTTACTAATAGGTGTGTCTGAAGTTTCAGTAGTTTCATTTTAAATATTAAATCTTAAAACAATGATCAACCGATTGCGAGAAAGATAATATTCTCTAGAAGCTGTGTGTAAAAAATGTTATGGAGATTTTTGTTCATTTTAGCAAAATATAACTGAGGATGATCTTTTGAATTCTCTTGAACTGTAAAAAAAAAACACTACTCTAGTTAGGCCTACCTAAAATATTTTAATTTTCAAACGTTATTATAGATTTTTAGTTGCTTATTATGCACAGTATACAATTAAAACAACATTTTAACCATTTGTACTTTCTACTGCCCATTATCAAATATTTAGTGAGAATTAACTTGAAAACTAATTGTAGCGGGCCACATTTAGGATCTTTAAAAAACCAATTTTTCTTAAATTCTTTAAATAAATGTGCCTGAAAATAATATCGTCTTTAGTAACCTTCATCCTATTTTTTAAATTTTTATTTCAGTCAAAATAAAGCAAACAAGTTTGGGAGAGAGCTACTGTTTAAGTAGACGTTCGATCATCATGGAAATGTTATTGATGTTTCCTTACTGCAAATGAATGTGAATAATTCGCTTGTTAATGACAGCTTGGATATATATAATACATGCTTCGCCTCATGTATTTAATTTTGATAGGATTGGTCCACTGATAATCAAACAACCAGCAAATTTGACTGTGCAAACAAAATAGAACCCTGCAGCAGGTTTCTAAAGTATCAACCAACTACCGTGGTCTATTTTGTTTGCTACAATAGCTCTTACACTTGGCTATCCATTCCCGATGAGATTAGTTAGTTCTATTATCTCTCATCCTATCGTCATACTTTTTTTAATTCATTAATTTCAATGGGAAGCAGCCAATTTACAGAAAGACAACTTAATTTGTGGAATCAAATTCCTTCGACCTCTTCAAGAATTTGTGGTCTGCTTCCTTCACATTGCATATATGCTTCAACATAGGACCACAGTACCACAGTTTACGACAGAATATTTGTTGTTACTGTTTTTCACCTTGGAAATGATTTTCCTCTTGCCATTAAATCTGTTGATAGTCATTCCTGATCGGGGCAAAAATTTTTTTTTTAATCTGATGGCCATGGTTGGTTTGTCCCATGGGCCTTGAACACATATAAGGTCGCTGACATGTGGTATGGACTGAATGTTATAATGTATTTAATTTTGTTTTGTTTTATTCATTCAATGAGGAATATAAATATTTTCTCTTTTTTATGTTGTTAATTCTTGTTTTTTTTTTCTTACAGCTTAAATGTGAGAAAGGACCATTCGGACATTAACTTATCCTGTATTGATAAATACATTTTAAAACCATCACAACTATCTCTTTTAGTTCCTAAACTAAGTCATGCATTCACAAATTTAAGAGTTAAAAAAAAATATTTATCTATTGTCAGTTTATTTCTTCCCTGTGATTATTAAAATCTTTATGGGTTGTCCAAAATTTATTCTACACAACTAAAAATTGTAACTTTTCAGGTAACGATATAACAATGATTCCGAAGATAAGTGACTACATGGCCGGGAGCTCCGTCTTGGTCACCGGTGTCACAGGGTTTGTTGGACTCGCTTTGGTTGAGAAACTCATCAGATGTGTTCCTGACCTAGCAAATATATATGTTCTCATTCGACCCAAGAGAGGAAAAAGCAAGGAAGAACGTTACCAAGAGATAATGTCAAACAAAGTGAGTACCGTAGCTTTTTCATACTCTCTCCCAAATTAGTTCTTAAAAAACAATGTAGGTATTAGATACATTCCAAGTCATTTACAGTTATTTTTTTAAGTTATATTAAAGACTAATATCACAGAAAACATACTACTATAACCCAGAATGCCAACCGCATGGTAAAAAGCGTTAAGTACTTTGAGAGAGCTTTGCCTGTCAATTCGTAGGCAGCGCCACCAGCGTTGCCATGCTGCTTACGAATTGACAGGCAAAGCTCTCTCAAAGTACTTAACGCTTTTCACCATGTGGTTGGCATTCTGGGTTATAGTAGTATGTTTTCTGTGCTAATATCTAACAATAGATATGCTGATACATGCTCTACCTGCTCGATGAAACGCCTTGAAGTTTGTCAGATAGCCGCTTTGCTTGACATGCTCTTCGGCTAGGGAAAGTGACATTGTCCTACTATAATAATCCATCAGTATGAGCAAAAAAACAATCAATCAATAAACTATAATGTTATTTGAACAATGGTGTATTTTAGATGAACGCAATACAAAATTTAAATAGGCCATTGTCTCTGAGCTGTTAAGGTTTTCTAGACATAGGCCTAAATTCTCCTACTCTACTAGTCTCTGGCAAAGCTCTCAACTGAGAAGCAGAAGAAGGAAAGCAAGACAGCTATGTAGGGGCTACACCTAGGTAGTTTCACTTGCGGCAACAAGGTTCTGTATGCTACAGATTTAAAATAGGCAGCTGCAAAAGCTTACATTCTGTGATTTAGGTATACATTTTCCAGTGTGAACGCTCACCATTATACAACATCATTGATATTCACGATTTTACATTATTTTTCACTATGGGAGATGTTCCCAGTATCACCATGAACACAAGGGATGTTCATGATTTCACCTTGTCTGGTACTGTACCATAGGTTAAAGCTTACAATTTCACCCTCGACTGTGGAATATGTTCATGAGTTAAGCGGTTTTTACACTGCCGTATTACCACGTCTATAACAGTCGTGGTCGCCACGCCAATGGACAGCCGTACGCAAATGCCGTGGCCCCACGGTACCGTCCCACGGCCACAAACAGCCGTGTAGTGTAAACAGTTTTCTGGTAGAAGCGTATTCATTAAAGGCGTGTTCATTTTTATTTGTGGGTACGTTATGGATTGTGCCACAATGAGTGTTATTTTAGCTGAAGAAATAGCACGGCATTTAAGTGTTATTAAAAGAAAGAAACCAAGCTGTAGCTTTCAATATTAATATCAAATAAACATGGTTCACTTTGATACAGTTCAAGCATTCGAATTGTTTGACCTTCCGTTAATTTTATTTATAATTTTTTTTATTGCTTTGTTTTCACTGTTTCAATTGATTCAATTTGTGTCAATGTTATAGATATTTTTGTTTTCGCCATGGTACTTAAAAACTTAACTAAGACGACAACCACTGACTTTAAAGAACAATAGTTAGTACACACAACGACGAGACGGAAGACGATAACTCCTTAATCACGTCTAGCCACGCCTGCAACTGGCGTAGCAACCAAACACGGTTTGGTTAGTCCTAAAGGGCGTGGGGAACAGGCGTATTGGGTTGCCAAGTCTGTTGCTCCCACGTCTCAACTGTTTACACGAGGCGTGGCCACGCTTCTCAAGAAAGTGAGAAAATTTCTCACCTACACGCCTGACTTTAGCCGTGGCCCCATGACAGTGTAAACACCGCTTTAAAAAAAAAAACAAGGGGTGTTTATTAATACAGTAGGTACAGCATATAGAATTCCTGGAAAAAGAAGAGTAGGAATGTCGTTCTCGCCCCTCTAAAGTACTGTTTATCAACTTTCTTTGTAATTTACCTAAGTATTATAGCAAAAAAGTAAAAAGGTGTTTACAGTACATTTTTTATTTTTTTACTATAAAGGCTTTATAACAAGTAAAAGCAGTTGAAATTACCTTTTTTGTCAGCTTTAAAAAGATTATTCAAAGGCTTTTTAATCAGATAATAATAAATTTAAAACCGACACAGATAAGGTAGTGCTAGCTTAACTTTGATTCTACGATGAATGTTGCCTTTGGTAACAGACAACAAACTCGTCTTTTAGGCGAAGCAGCTCAGGTAGGAGCGGTGTCTTAATCTAATTTAAAGCAGTATTCCTACAAAATATAGACCTATTTCTAAGCAGGCTAGATTATTATTAAAAGGCCTAAATCACAATATTTGGAAATATCAAAAATATAGACTCGCCTATTGAAATGTACTAACCTTACAGTTGTTACCTACCAAACAAACTCCCTGCCATATTGCATAAATGATTGTCCTGTTACAAGCTGTGTGATATTTACAATTTTATTGGATACTTATAAATTAAAATTATGCTTTATGTACCGGTACCATAATTATAACTCAGTGCTTGTTAGTCCCTCAGTAATGACATAAAGCATTAATATAGATACTAAACTATAACTAGGTTACATGAAACTCAACTTTTTACCAAAAATAATAACAAAAACTACACAAGGTTTTATTTGTGTTGCATATTATCTTGTTTGTTCAAACTTTATTGTTTGTAACTTAAAGTGAGTAAAGCCTTCAAGGATCAGGTAAATTTCTGCATTTCAAAATTAAATAATTTCGGGAGTCAAAGAATGATATTCTTTGTAGTGAATCCAAGAGTTTTTTTTTAATGAAAACTTCCGAAATACATTGTTATGGGAACAGGATCCACCACTTTCACAAGAGTACATGATGGTTGCATTTCCTGTAATTGAATTTACTTCTTTAAATTAAAGAAATCTATAATTTAGAAATAACAAAAGTGTTACGTTGGATTACCTAACAATTATCATCCTGTCATTTGAAATTCTTCAATATTTACCCTATCATCCAAATTCATATTCGATTCGCTACTTTAATGCTATAGCAGAATTAAAGTCTTCGCTTTAGAAGGATTTTGTCTTTGAATGTTATGATTTTTTCATTATTTCTCTTAATTTTTACGCAAATTGTAGACTCACTGATTGTTTGTAACAATATCAGTTTTTATAGCAGTTGTTGATTTTGTTTCAATTTATTTATTAGTAGCAAGAGCAGAAAAACTATACAATATTGTATTTATGTTTTCAATAGCTTTTTGAAACAATCAAACAGTCCGACCACAGTTCATCCCTGAGGAAAGTAGTTCCAATCGAAGGCAGCATCGATGAAAATGAATTAGGCCTTTGTGAACAAGATCTGCAAACAGTAATTTCAAGTGTTAATTATGTTTTTCACTGTGCTGCCACTTTGGATTTTGAAGCAAGCCTTAAAACCACAATGGAAATCAACGTACTGGGTACACGCCAAGTTGTGGATATGTGCAAGAGGATGAGAAACCTCAAGGTAGGCCTTTGAGTCACCTTATGATGTTTGTAGTTTATAGTATTTTAGTAATCTATGTAAAAATAAGTCCTTCACTGTCACAAAGATTTTAATCAAACTATTCGAAAATACTGTATTACTATTACTTTTCAAAGTGTGCACTAGGTAATTGTTGGGAAAATAGTTAATTATTAGTTGTGGAAAAGTTTCTTTAATTTACATGTTTTAAATATTTCTCAAACCACTTATAGAGTGTTTAAAACATGTGTTTGGTTGAAGTAGGCAAACGTAATGTTTTGCAATGCTGTGATAAACAAGCATTCCAGTCTCTATCTATTATTTTGACCTAAAAATGTATGCAATTACAATCATCCTTGTTTATCATGGCAAATTGATGTGTAGTTATGTGTAATTCATTTATGTCATATCGCTCATAAACTCATGGCACTGATCCCTCACTAGCACTAAAGCATAGTATTATGATGGGACATTTTAATTATCTCTCTTACGATAAGTAAGTGGTTAATTTCATAAGCTACATAAGTTCCTTCTTTCTCTAAATGTTAAACTGTCTCTAAATTTGTTTTTTTTTTACACAAACATCTAGCCTATTCAAAATTATGTTCATTTTGAATTAACCTTATAGGCTAACTGTTTTTCCTTATATAAAATAACTTAGTGGATGGTCTAGGTCCTGAATTGTAGTTGTGGATGCGTTCATACTCGTGAATGGTTTAGTGGTCTACCTTAAAGTGGCCCTGGAAAAACCTAAAATTGCTGTAATGACCCCAAATAATGAGGCAACCACTGACCACAATGTAACCATGAGCAATCTGTTATTTTGAATTGCAAAGTTCTCACTGTCAAGATTTTTCATAATACTAACGTGCTTGTTGAAAATAAAGCATATACAGGATGCCTGTCAGCACAAAATAAAAATGGGAATAGTCTTTATAGGTCAAAATAAAACAAAAATCAAGAAAAACATTTTTTTTATACCTCGTAATAAAGCGAGAAACGTTTTTTTGAAATTTAAATTTATAAAAGTATTTCGAGAACACTTATAAATTAGCATTAAAATTTATTTATGAAACGGCAAAGTTGAAAAAAAATTAATAATAAATAGGTAGCCAAAAATAACAATTTTTAGTTGTACAGGCCAGGCAAAATAAGGCAAAGATGGCAGGGTGCTCCTCATTTTGACTGGTCTGTACAACTAAAAATCGTTGTTTCTCGGCTATTTATTAGGCCAATTTTATTTTTTTAACCTGGACGTGTGATAGAAAATTTTGAATGCTAGATAAAAGTGTTTTAACATTTTTTCATGAAATCAGCCATGTTTTGTAACTTAAGTTACAAGAGTTCAAACCTCAAGTTAAGAGTTTGGTGAAAAAATTCTTATGGAGAAATGGATTTTGTATTTGCCAAAATAAAATAGTAGAAGTATGATTTTGTCAACCTAAGTCATATGGATTTGTTTGTACGGATCTTGTTAATCATTTGGCAGAAACGGTTTAACATTAAGTTAATCAGTTGTCATTGCATTTCACATTGTCCCATCCCCATGTTAAAGTGCAGAGTAGCAGTGCGGCTTGACTCCTGCCACTTCTTAACTGTATTTCTTGCAGAGTCTATGCCAAATGTTCAGTCCTCTTCCAAGATGTTTTAATTACGAGGGCTATCCAGAAAGTAGATTACGTTTTTGTCTGTATCCACTAGGGGCGGGGCTAGCGCAACCATCTTGGTGTTAGTTCGTTATGCAGCTCAGTCGGCATCTAGCCGTGCTAGTAAGTGGTTTCTGCTGTACTCCCTTGAGTTACTGTGACAGTTTAAAATATCTGTGTTAATTGAAAATTCCACAAACTGTGAAGTGCGTGCAAAAAAAATGAATGAACTCTTTGGTTACAGTTTGGTAACCAAGATTTTTGGTAATGATCTCGTGCAACAAACTTTGCAAAATTTATTGAAAACCCATAGAGAGTTCTGTTATTGTGAACTTTTGAGTTTTACGGACATCGGCATCAACTTTTTCGACAAGTTCGGCAGTCACAATGCTGGGTCTTCCAATTCGCTCTTCGTCGTGAACGTTAGTTCGGCCATTTTTAAATTTGATAACCCACTGACGAACTCCACCTTCAGTAATAATGTTTTCCCCATAAACTTCACAAAGTTGCCGATAAATTTCTATCCGTTTACAGTTTTTTGCAGTCAAAAACCTTATAACTGCATGCACTTCACAGTTCGCGGCATTTTCAATTAACACAGACATTTTAAACTGTCACAATAACTCATGCTGATTTGATTTGATTTGATTTTTCTGGATAGCCCTCGTATATCCATAAACACACTTATTTCCAGAGTGTAGATGGAGGTAATTGTTGAATTCCACTTAGGATAAAAGTACTTTCTGTAGTATAAAAACAATTCAAGATATTCTCTCATCATACTTTCAAATGATCAATTATCAATTCTTTGAGACGACTACACACACTTATTTTAAGCTGAATGTGAATGGAAGGTAAGTGTTAAGTGGAGTGAGATGATCTGTGTAGCTTTTTACTAACTAAGATCAGCTGTTTCATTGTCAGGATCAATTATTAAAAGCCCAATGACCAAGGATAGCTGGGCTTAATTTCGAACCATGAAAAAGCTACTGACTTTTCTCAGGATCGAACTGGCAACTTTCTTATACTGTAGTGTATTTAAGCCTTTTATAATTGTATTTTTTTGTATCTAGTGCCTAGTGCAGGTGTCAAGTGCGTATGCCAATGCCAATCTGCTGCACACTGAAGAAATCTTGTATCCTCCTCCTGATAACGTTGAGAAGATCATTGAAATGGTACAGACACTCTCAAACACAGAGCTTGAAGAAATTACTCCGAAGTAAGTTTACAGCCAATCTTTTAGTACTATTGCTTATTTTAGCTTGTCAAATGGTTATTTGAAAACTAAAATCGTAGTTGTGCTGTCCTTGTTGACATTTAGGAAGTTTTTCTGTATCAAATCGTACTTTATTACCAGTATTATTGGCTTGATGTCACAAAGTTATTATTATAACACCAAATACAAGCCGTGGACAAAAAATGGCGAGTTAATCTCAGCAATCCCCTTTCGCAATATTACTGGCAACTTACAACGACCATATCTTTAGACATTTTTGAAAACATTGCTAGCCCCTCCTGAATGTAGGAGAATTGAATCCCAATCCTATGTCAAATATTAAATATATTCTTCTTCAGGCCTGTATTTATGTACTAAATAATTAGGTGGGCTTGCGAATATTTAAAAGTCCAAATAGTTAAACAGAGATCTTAGTACTCAAGGGCAGCTTTGGATTTAAATAGTTATTAAACCTAAAAATAAACCCCTAATGTCGTCAAAATTGTATTTAGGCCTATAGTGTTGCTTTATTTCATCCTCGAACCTGCTTTCCCAAAACTTCATGATTGGTAATGTAATCAATAATCACCAATTCATAATATGACAACCTAAACTCTACATCTTACAAAAAAAAAATACCCCCGCCGCAGCAAACCTGCAGACTAAGCGAATTTCCATTTGACTGATTGGATTTACACTGAAATGTCTACTTAAAAATATAACATTAATTCCCTATTTAAATAGAATTAGTTTAACAAGTACTTAGGTTTGCTGCATCAGGGAGGGTGAAACTGTTTTTTTTTTATGTTAATAGTTAGTAAGAAATAAAAACATTTTCCAAATTTGATCAAAATATGTTCATAAACAAGCAAACTACAACAGTTGACTTATTCTCCATAAGAATAACATGGGAGTTTTAAATTTAAAATTTTTTGGAATTTTCTCCGTAACCATTAGGCGCATAATAACGCTTCAATATACTAAATTATTTGTTTTTTTAAGCTCTACAAAGTGGTTTGGAAAGAAATTGCTAAATTTTATGTTTTTTGGGTCAAAAATGGGAAAAACCTATTTTTACCCCATAAAACCCCCCGTAAACTCCCGTTCCCATGGTCCGATCAAGCTGGATTGCGAACTCGTTCGAATAAACGTAGGTTTGCACGTTTGTACCAAATTTCATCAAAATCGGATCATCTTTGCTCGAGTTATCGTGCTAACGGACATATATATATATATATATATAAATATATAAACATATAAATATATAAATATATATATATATGAATTTGAATGGATGGTGTTTTTGGCCTCTAGGGACCTCAAAACGAAAAAAAAAAATCGGTCCCGCGTCCAGGTCTTACCATGAGTACTACGGTAATAGCTTATTCCCTATATGGAAAATTCGCTAAAAACAAAAAAAAAAATACCTGCAAAAAATTGTTTTTAAAGATACATTTTTGTACGCAATTTTTGTATACTTTTGTACATTCTAAAATAAAATTGAACAATATATTTATCTATACAGGTGGATAAAGTGAATATCAGTTGAATATGTTAAATACTGGATAGTTAACCTTAGTATTGTTTCAAGCCTGTGATTGTGAAAATTTAAATGGATGTAATAACAATGTAAAAATTTGAAAATATTAAATTCCCCGATTAATGGGTCTTAGTACCATGAACAGCTGATCTAGACTGACAATGCTCTTAGTGGTTTCTGATGTTGGTATTTATTTTCTTATTTTCCATTGAACATTTTTCCTGTTCGTCGGTTTAAGATAAGTTTATGTAATGTTTATTCTATTAATATAAATATTAGCTACCTCATCTTTGTGTTATTGTTTTGTGTAAATGTCTAACTCAAGTTCAGTTTAAGAAAGGGCTTGTGGCCTGATCTTGCTTGATTAATTAAAGGATAATTTATTTAATTTCAATTTACAAATTAATGGAATTCTAAAAATTCTTTTAACCCCGGATATTTTGCATTGTACTTTGAAGAAATTTAATTTGATGTAGGATTCCTCTGTCAAATACTTTTAAAAACCTTTTTACAAATCCTTATAAATGTTGTGTGTAAAATAACTGTGCCATTTTCTGACATTTGCGATTTTTCAGAGTTCTCAAAAAACATCCAAACACTTACACGTTCACAAAAGCTTTAGCAGAACATGAAGTTGCCAAGGAGTTTAGCAATTTCCCTTCATGTATTGTCCGGCCTAGTATGAGTAAGTATCATTCATCTAATCCATCTTTATTTAACTATTTAGCCTATTTAAGTATAATTCGACATTGGTGGAACTGTATCTCTTTTACTATAGGTAGTACATCTAGGTCAATATTTATTGACCAAATAAAGTCCTACATTTACCAGTAAATCTGAAAATAACTATTTTTTCAAAGATATTATTCATTGATTTTTTGTGAATAGGCATTTAGAGATGGCTTTAATTGTATAACTGTTCTGTGATAAAAACTTAAAATACTTGGCTATTTTAAGATTTCTGGTTAAGATTTTGTTTCATACATTACATACTTTTCTGTGACAAGATTTACAAGTGATAGATAAAGTTCTAATACATACAGGGTGAAAATTTATTCAGAGTGTACCACGTAAGGTGTTTCAAATTGATTACAGAAAAACAGCTTAACATACAAGGATGAAATAAAATTATTTCCCGCTAAATCAACCCCGAGAAATAACGTAAAAATATTTTAAACTTTTAAAACATAAATGAAATGGGGCCTAATGAATTAGTGTTCAACCCAAATAACATGCATTTGATATAGAAAAGTTAGGGTTTTTGTTATTTATACAAAAACTAAAAGAGATTCGAAGTAAGTGTAAATTACAAAGTTGTTAAGAATTTTAAAAAAACTATAAAATGATGTATCACTTGAAATATGTGGATATTTGAAAATTTTTAACATGGGCATTTGCAAATTTTCAAAAATATTTTTTTTTTTTTAATTTTTATTATAAAAAAAAAAACCATTACTTGTAGCTTATTACAGTAAAGCTAATTTCATAATGAGAAACAAAATTCAACCGGAGAATGGCTGAGTGCATGGGTATAAGAAACACAGAGTATTAAAAACATATTGATTTTTCCCAAAAAAAAAACTGCCGCCATTTTGAAACGGAAAAAGATAATTAATTTCTGTTTTTGCCAAAATGTTTGTCTATTAGGTAAATACTTTTAAAATTAGGTAGGCATATAACATGACATATGTTTACGTTTGAAAATTCCGAGATTCGAACTAGTGACCCTCAGTTTTTGGCATAAGGCCTACCCTGTATCGAAAAAAAATTTAAAATATGTTAACGTTATTCCTCCGGGTTGATTTAGCGGGAAATAATTTTATTTCATCCTTGTACATTAAGCCGTTTTTCCATAATCAATTTTAGACACCTTACGTGGGACACCTTGTATAAATTTTCAGATGGTGTTCTATGATTTATCCCTATACAGTTAAAAAGTGTATAACTGTTGATTGAGATCTTATTGTTTCATCAATGGTTGTTTTAGTTGTCGGAACATGGAAGGATCCTGTACCTGGGTGGACCAACAGCAAGAACGGTCCTACAGGTTTCTTCCAAGGTGCAGCCACTGGGGTTGTCCGTAGGTTACCGGTTGCCAAACATCTAGTCTACGACTACATCCCTGTTGATATTGTGATAAACGCAATGATCTCCGGAGCTGTTTACACTGCCAGCCAATGGTAACATTTTTAATATTATAAATATTTTAATGCAGTTTCACAAGTAAATGCCACTTATCATCAAAAAGACTTGTTTGAGGATGAGGGACTAGTCATATTTCAATTTTGTAAAAACTGACTGGTGTTTTCTCCAAGACTGGATAAGCTCAGCATCTCTTGTAGCCAACCACCTTTAAAAGTTATGCAGCCCTTTTATAAGAGGCCCTGTCACTTTACCCTGTAGCTCTCAGTTTTTGCGTTCCCTGTAAGCTCTTGCCTGTAAGCTTTGAAATTTGAATATAGCGTTTAGAGCAGGGATTTCCAACCTACACATCCGGCCTGTGACCAGATTTTTCCCACCCTGCAAAAAGCCAGCAGGCTAACAAAAGTTAATTATTTGGTATAGCAATTGCCGATGATCTTCTCCCGCGATCACGTAAACACCTTTGTTCTGGCAGTCTCCGCAATACCGTGATCGCAGTATCACTTGTTGTCATATCTTGCCGTCCCGGCAAAACCATGAACAGAACCCTCGTCATTCGGTTTTGGCGATACTGTGATCGTCTTCTTCGATCGCAGAAACACTCATGGGCGTATATTAAGGTCAGAGTGATACCGTGATTGTCTCTAGTAATCACGGCAACACTCGTTACGGGTAATCGCAATTTCCTTACAACATTCCTTAAGAGTACTAATGGAACGTAGTCATTTAATGGAGGCTCGGCCATAGGATTTGATGAATTGTCTGCCCATTCCAGGTTAAAGTGCAATTAACTGTCTTTTTCCCTTTCAATAAAATTCACATACAGTAGAACCTCACTAATCTGTCACCTACGGGACCGGGAGCATGGTCGGAACAGCAAAAAGGTTGGATTATCAGAGGACCGTGTTTATTGACATAAAAACGCAGTAAAACTGTATTTTGAACAGACCACAGATAACGTACTGATATCCACGGTTAATCCAACATGACATAAAACAGTTATTTCCAACTCTTAAACGCCTAATACTAACTGTATAAATGGACTTAAATGTGATCATTTGCATATTACATCATAAAAATACAATAAGTAGGCTATTGCACAATCATAATAATTATGTTAGTATGTCATTAACCTTGGTTCAGTAATAAAAACTGTAAATGTATTTTACCATAATATGTGACCATGTCTATTGCAAGATTGTTTACTTAAGGACAATAAAGGATTTCTGATTTCTGATAACGTTTAAAATCACAGATTTTTCAAACTTTTACTTTCAAACAAACAAATTGCCAAACATTGTATAGCAAAATAAAGTACAAAACAATAGAAAGTCTAGTAAGCTACTGCTGGTCATAGGCTACTGTTACGCTGTTTCAGGACAAAAGAATGTTGATAAAAACAACATTAGATAACCCATAAAAAGTATTAAATAACGGTAGCCTACTTATAGCATAACAACAGTTGTAAAATACACCGGTAAAGATAACAATGACAAAAAAACATTGCTTATTCTTTCTTGAGTTTCTCTTCATCCACCCATTCAACGAACAAGTTGCCAGCAACAGTTGTTACTTAACACCCAATCACAGGCTACTATAGTTGTCATGATTACCAAATACCCAATCACAAAATGTGAAATGGCAAGAGCAGACCGATGTGTCTTGTGTAGGCCTAGGAGTAGACGGTTGTCAGTGCAAACGGATAGCTTAACCTTGAAGCTTTGATCGACATTCCTTGGTGTTCCTTCCATTTTATTTTCGTCAAATTAACTGTGATTTTTCAAAAACAATAATGTGGGAGCCTACTTATTATTAATAATGGGCAGAAAGGGTTAAATATAAAACGAATTTCAACACATTAGACTAAAAAAAACCAATTTATAAAGTTTTCTAGGTATTTTTCTTGGACAATAAGGTTATGTTAGCAGAAGCCTATTGTGTTGGCGACACGGTCGGACCAAGCGAGGAGTCGGATTAGCGAGGTTCTACTGTACAATATTCGCAATCTCCATGTTGAATGCCTTCTGTGTATACACAGCTGTGCCTACATTGCAATATGGGTATAGTCAACATACATGTCTGGTCTCATGTGCCAGTTTTTTTCTCAATAGATTAAAATTTGCTGTATACATGTAGTGGCTGAGTCATCTAAATACAGATCTGCCTAGTTAGATGGACATTTGAAACCAATCCTCACCATCAAAACTACAAATTGCAACCCAAAATTAGCTGACATTTTATGTGGCAAATGCATTATTCCCTCACAAAAATTACTGCTCTTTTCATCCTTTACTCTTGTTGTAAAATGTTGCAAAGTTCGCTTATCGCGATTACATTTAAAAGTTGATTTTATTACAATCAAGTAAATTTTATTGTGAATAGAAAAAATGTATGTCATCCTGTGGTTTGAGAATGAGATTTTATTTACCAGTGAATTGCATAACCAATACATTGTCATGTCAAATTATTTATAACATTAATTAAAGTCCAGTGGAATCCACTTTCTTGAAATGTACAGTAATCCTCTATGGAGTAAAATATGGCTGATTACAAAGAAAGTTCTTTATTTTAATCTTAAAATTAGGGATGGTCAAGTCTCGAAATTTCGGGAAATTTTCGGGAAATTTTAAATCTTGTTACACGAGACAAGATTTTTTTTTTGCCGAGATGTTTATCGAGACGAGAATAAAAAAATAAAAAAAATTAAAAACGCCTGCAGAAAGTCAATGCAATACCCGCAACACAGGAGCGTGTTGTAGTTGCGTTTCCTTTGCAAAGGCGTTCTTATTTAATTAATTCTATAAATGTAAATATTACTCTAATTATTTTAATAATATTACTTTAATAACATTTGAGAAGTTTTGTTAAGTGTAAGCAGTGTGAGGAATGTTTTATTACTATAAAAAGTCAAAACAAGTAACTATTTTATAAAAATTAATATTGCTTTTATTTTATGATTTATTTTATTTTAGGATAAGTTGAACTCTATCCTAACTTATATTACTATGTTTCCTAATTGTAGGCATTTTTAATAAGTTACGTGATTAATAAAAAAATGTTATGCTGATGTTTTTTAATAAAAGATTGTAAATATTCTTGCCTATTATCATTATTTTTGTATTTAAACAGTCATCTAACAATGTTACAAAATCAGGTAAAAATTTTGAACGTGCATTTCCCGTTGTGTATGAGAAGGGAAATCCCGTCTCGATCTCGTCTTGAAATTTTATGAGAAATAAAAAATCTCGTCTCGTCTCGTCTCGAACTAAAAATTCAATCTTGTCCATCCCTACTTAAAATCCTCATCGCTTAGTAACCTTAAAGCTGGTGGTAACTTGTTATAAATTGTACTGCTGTTATAACTAATGGTCTTTCAACAGTCATAGTAAGTCTAACCTGAGATATTTGATTTATAATGATTGTTTTGACTGTGGATATCTCTCCTATATTTAAGCTTATCCAATTGTGGTCTTAAATTATAACAGGTATTGCATAGTAAATGCGGAAAACACTGTTAATATTGGATAGTCTTCAAAAAGTTCAATACAATTATGGCGCCTGTCTACTGCAGCCATGACCAGAATTGTCTTGTTGCATATTGCTAGAAAGTTAGTACAGTATATTACAGCACTATACTAGTGAAGGAATATCATATGTGCGTTATGATAACTCACCTGTAAGAGGGCTAAATGAACAGGTTGTGACTTGTTTGATTGTGGATAAAGCAGCGAGTGAGTATAAATACATGTCATACGCAAGTGGAGGTCCAAACCATTGAATCAAAACGAGAGGAAGTTTACTATCATCCAGAGTAAAGCATTATTACATTGTATTTTAACTACACTTAATTGTGGCGGTATACTTTTGTGTTTATTGAACAATTTGAAATTGATTAAAAGTTTTGCTTCTAGGGAAAGTTTGGACAAGACTCCAATATTCCATGTGACCAGCAGCACGTACAAGCCGTTCCGATGGGCCATGGTGGAAGACAAGATGTCTGTTCTGCTTCAAAAGTACCCCCTAAAACAGGCTGTGTGGTACCCCTACCTAAAACTTGTGCCTTCCCTCAACTTGTACTATATCTCAGCTTTCATCTTTCACCTGATACCAGCCTACTTCTTCGACACACTCGCCAAATTCACCGGCCAACGCCCAAAGTAAGAAAATATTTCATTTGTAAAACCAAAACAACTTTTCGTCAAAAGCGTATAAAATTTATAAGAATATTAAATACTTTGCAAACTATACATTTAAAAAAATATTAGTGATTTACTTTAAACAAATATTTTATAAAATACAGTAGAACTCCAATTATTTGAATCAATGGAACCAGACTCCATTCAGATAATCAAAAATTTGGATAGTTGGATTTTTACCGAAATTCAGGGTATTTTAAAGAAAACAGGGCAAGGTTTTATTAATCCGATCGCAGAAGGTGTCTGCGACAATTTTGCAATCGGAATAATACAATAAAATGCCTTTACGTGACCACGGGAGACAATGATGATGTCACCACGGCTGTGGGATATTATTAACATTTTGCCGCGATTGCAAAAAACCATATCGATGTTTCCGTGACTGAGTGAGACGATGATGATATCTACTTGACCGTGGGATGTATTAATCATTTTGCCACGATCGCGAAGAGCAATGACGATGTTTCCGTGATCGAGGGTAGACGGTGATGATGTCAACACAATCGCGAGAGAGGTTTTTGATTTTGCCACGATCACAGCTTCTGCTTTCTTTACTAAAGATTCTTATTGTGATTTTAAGTTTTTAAAATTTCTTTAAGCAATTCGGATAGTTGGAGTTTGGATAATTGGAGTTCTAATTGTAGGTAATATTAATTGTTTGATAGAGTAGCAGTGATATTTTGGCTATTGTTAAGCTTCATACCAAAGATTGTAAGTTTAGGCTTAATTTAAGAAATAGCTCTGACACCATGCATTGTACATTATGTAGGCCTACATATTATGGTCCTACAAAGGCTTTTGGCATAGCCTAGAAGCTGTGAGACGACCAATCGTCTCATCTCTTCAGGTTCGAGTTGCGGCCTTTCTCTATTTTCAACCTTTTTTGAGCTAAGGCCGGATAGTCCAGCCACAAGTGTTCAGATGTTTCCACCTCGTTTTCGCAGAATCTGCATTGGTCTATCTGTGAACTTCCAATGGATGCAAGGTGTTTCTTGTTACTAATAGGGCCGTTTCCAGTTAGCAAAATACACACAAGCAGTCTGATGTCCCTCTTTTCTAGGCTCAGTAAGCCTTTCCAATCCTTCCTTGAGGGGTCTATTTAAGTATTTTTTGAGGGGTAAGTATTTATGAAGTCCTTGAAAAGTTTTCTTACTTTTTTTATATTTAAATAAATACTCACTTTTTACATTAAACAAAATTATTATTCACAAAACCAACAACAAGATTCTCAAACACATTCCACTAATAGTTTTATTTACACCATTTTAAATTGTTGTGATGTTATTCCAATAATCTCATTACAGCTGTTCTTTTTTAGTAAAGGCAGGCTTAAACAAACATTTTATTTTATATTATATTTAACACTCCCCCTTAAGAATAAAATGTTTTATATATTTCTCAACGCTAGATTCTTGAAAACCCATACTGCTAGCTTAGTTAATAATATTGTTTGTGTTTTACAAAGTTGAAAAACAGTTTTAACATTTGAAAATACAATGTTTTTATTAGATTGTCTATTTATTGTCCATTTAATTTAATGAATAATATTTACATTATATGTACAGTACATTGTTTACCTCATCATCTTATTTCTAAGTTTCAACTCAAAATTAGGCTAAACTTTTAATGAGGATTTCTTTGAACTTTTGAAATTTAGGGTAAGTAAGAGATTTTGTGAAAATGTCACCCAACTGTTCATCAGACCTACAGTATTGGAGTGCAAACAGACCTTCATGAAATTGTTCACTTATGAAGTAATAGCGTACATCAATGTGTTTGCTTCTGCGGTTCATTTGACCGGATTGAATCATTTTCATTGCGCTTTGATTGTCTATGTTGAGTGTTATTTTCACTGGCTTGTTAGTAAGTTCACTAATTAGAGTTTTCAAATATTTAAGTTCCTTGCAGCATTCAGCAGCGGAAATATATTCTACTTCAGCTGTTGAAAGTGCTACAATGGGCTGTTTTCTTGAGCTCCAAGTCACAGGTCCACCTGCGAACATTATTACATAACCACTTGTACTTTTTCTGTCTTGAGTGTCTCCTGCAAAATCAGAATCACAATAAGCGTTCAGCTCAATTTTGTCACGTTTAATTGAAGAGAATCTTATTCCATGGGTTTGTGTTCCTTTTAGATATCTAAGGGTTCTCTTTACATTTTGGATATCATTTTTATCAGGATTTTCCAAGTGTCTACTTTCATAACTGACTGAAAAACTCATATCAGGTCTGGTTTTGTTAGTGAGGTAAAGCAGACTTCCTACTGCTTCTCTGTAAGGAAAAGCTCCTTTAGTAGTATTTTCATGAAGAGTTTCAGTTGTATCTTTCAGGTTAATTGGTGTCTTTACTTCTTTGCAGTTCTTCATATTGAATCTTTCAAGAATTTGTTTTGCATACTTTTCTTGACTGATTAAAATTCCGTCCCTGTTACGTTTGATCTCCATCCCTATATAAACTGTTGGATTTGGACTGATCGTCATCTCAAATTCATCTTCAAGTTGCTTTAGTAGGTTTGCAATTTTTCCTTCATTTTTACCAATCAAAATACCATCATCTACATGGAAAGCTAAGTAGAGATCGTTATCGAGATTCTTAAAAATACACTGATCTGACTTCAGTTGTGTCAATCCTTGACTTTTAAGAAATGAAGTAAATTTCTTGTTCCACAAGCATGGGGCCTGTTTTAAACCATACAATGATTTATTTAGTTTACAGACTTGACCTTGTTCTTCAAAACCTTCTGGTATCAACATATACACGTCTTCTTCCATTAGACCATATAGAAATGCTGTTTTTATGTCAAATGTTTGTATATGCATGTTTTCTTGTGCTGCTATAGCAAGAAGTAATCTTAGTGAAGTACTGTCCACTACAGGACTAAATGTATCTTTGAAATCTATTTTCCCTTTTTGCTGACATCTTTTAACAACAAGTCTCGCCTTATAGGTTCCATCATCTTTGACTTTGAAAATCCATTGAGTTGTTAAAATTTGCTTTCCTAAAGTTTCTTTTCTGTCAACAATTTCCCAAATTTCATTTTTCTTCAGAGATTCTTTTTCATTATTTATTGCAATTTTCCATTTTTCTTTTTCATCTCCATTGATACATTCATTGTACGTCAAAAGTGCGTTAAGATCGTAGTCTTCATATCTGACAGGTCTTTTTATGTTGTTTCTTTGTCGAAGATTATATCTTTGGTTTCTTATTTCAGGTTCTTCTTCATCAGTATCATTTTCTTCTTGATATAGGTCTTCTGGTTCCTGTTCATGTTCTTCTTCGTGTTCAGGTATAGTGTCTTCTTCTTCTAGTTCTTCACTTTCATCTAGTACAGCTTCTTCTTTAACATCTTGTGGATCATCGGTTTTAGGTTTAGTAGTAACACTATTCTTTACAAAAATCACATCTCTTGAAATGATTATCTTTCTTTTCTCTTCGTCCCACATTCGGTATCCATTTAAAGCATAACCAACAAATATCATTTTCTTGCTTCTTTTGTCGAGTTTCTTTAGTCGACCTAGTGTCTTACAGTATGCTTCCGTTCCGAATACTTGTAGTCTAGAGAGATCTGGTTTCTTGTTATACCATTTTTCAGCTGGAGTTCTATCGACAGTTATAGATGGGCTTCTATTTAACAGATATGCAGCTGTTAACACTGCCTCTCCCCACATGTCTTTTGACAGATTTGTATCAAAGAGCATTGCTCTAGCTTTATTTAACAGAGTTCTGTTCATTCGTTCTGCAGTTCCGTTCAGTTGTGGTGTATGAGGAATAGTGTAATCCAGCACAATCCCTTTTTCCTTGCACCAATTTTTTAGGTTTGTCGAAACATATTCGCCTCCATTGTCACATCTTATTTTGTGTGCTTTAAGGTTAAAGTATGCTTCTGCTTCATTGATGTATTCTTTAATGTATTGATTGGCTTCATCTTTAGTTTTCAATAAATATACTTTACAGAAATGAGTATAATCATCAATGCAAGTAAGGAAGTAACTTTTTCCGTCATGTGTAGAGGGTTCTATTTTTCCACACACATCTGAATGGATTATATGTAAGGGCTTTGATCCTCGTTCCCTAACAGTATTAAAAGGCAATCTGGTATGTTTTGCTTCAATGCAAGCTGTACAAAATATGTTCTCACATTTTGTTATATCAGATGGCATTCCACTTGACATTTTAGTTAGTTTCTTGATGCTCTCATTATTTAGGTGTCCTAACTTTTTATGCCATATTTTCATTAATTCACTAGAATTTTCTTGATTTTCACCGTTGTCTTCTTGTTGACTGCTGTTATTTACCACCTCACCTGACTGAATTGTGACATTGCTGGTATTACCATTAGAGAGACTATTTTCACTACAAATGCTGCTTCTTAAATTGACTATATACAATCCCTGACTATTTTTATTACCTTCAAGTATCATTTCATCGTTTTTAATTACTTCTACTTTATTTTTAGTGAAGACAACTGTACCACCTTTTTCCGTAATGGCATTTACAGACATTAAATTATTACTAAGTTCTGGTACGTAAGAGACATTATTTAAAATACACTTGTCCGTTTCAATGCTACCAATACCTAGAGAAAACATTGACTGGTTTTTCTTAGCGACTGATATTTCCTGTTTGAACTCTTTTAAGTTACTTAAAATATTACTGCAGTTGGTCATATGGTTTGGGGTGCAACCACTGTCAACAACAAAAGCCTTGTTAACTTCTTTTACTTCATTTATATGCTTAGGCATACTTGTTTCAAGGATTAGGCCTACCTGTTCCTCCTTAACCTTGGCCAGAAAAACAGTTTTATGGGTGTTTTTAGGATCTTTGTTATTGTTATTTTTACTAGACCTATCTCTAAAAAAAACAATTCTTAGTATCATGGTTACTTTTCTTACAAATAGTACACATCATTGGCCTATTTTCCTTAACTTTATTTTTAAGATAACAGTTTGACTCATAATGGTTATTCTTTTTACAAAAAGAGCAAAACTTTTTACCAGGACAATTCTTTTGGATGTGACCTATCTTTTGACAAGTGAAACATTTTACATTATTAGGCTTATTATATTTAGTCATACCTTGTTCATATTGAGTAGAGCTAGCTTTAAAAACTGTACTTTCATTACCACTACTGCTGTCCATAGATTTCATCTTACTTTCCTCTTGAACAAGTCGAGCTTTCAGATTTTCGAGTGTCCTTTCCGTAGCTGATGTCGAGTCCCAGGCACTGTTGAAATGTCTGAAGCTTTCTGGTAGTATCGTCAGGATCTTCGTTATCACCATTGTGTCATCTATTTTCTGGTCGAGTTGGTTTAGTTTATAAGTTAGGTTCTGTATTAGGCAAAGGTTACTCATCATATCAATTTCTCTATTGTACTTGAAGTTGTAAAAGTCCTGAAGTAATGCACACTTTTGGGTTTCAGTATCTTTTTGAAAAGGTCTTTTTAATGTTTGAAACATTTCATGGGCGTTTTTACAAGTTAAAATATGAGGTTTAATTTGGTTATCAATTGTTAGCAATATATAATGTTGAGCCTTGGCATCCTTTACCTTCCACTTTTTTATTTTTGATGCATCATCACCTTGTTCATCTAAGGTTTCAGTTCCGTTTACTACATCTATCAGTTCTCGTGCTTTGAACAACACACTAATCTCAAATTCCCACATAGCAAATGTTTCCACGTTTTTAAGTCTTTGAATAGTGTTATAATCATTTTCACTGGTCATTATTATCAATAAAATGTTGTTATACTCACGTTAAGAGACAACTTCAAACTTTGTTCTTCTAGTTTTAGTTTTATGGCATTAATAGCCCTGTTCTTACTTGGTTTTATTTTATGGCATGAGCAGCCCTGGGTGTTAATTTTTAGTTTTATGGCATGAGCAGCCCTGGTTGTTAATTTTTAGTTTTATGGCATGAGCAGCCCTGGGCCCATAACCTGAAAAGTTTTCTTACTTTTTTTATATTTAAATAAATACTCACTTTTTACATTAAACAAAATTATTATTCACAAAACCAACAAAAAGATTCTCAAACACATTCCACTAATAGTTTTATTTACACCATTTTAAATTGTTGTGATGTTATTCCAATAATCTCATTACAGCTGTTCTTTTTTAGTAAAGGCAGGCTTAAACAAACATTTTATTTTATATTATATTTAACAGTCCTTAGTGTCAGACTTTTTGATGACTGAGAGAATCAGTATTTTCCCTTAGTAGGTTCCTGTCCAGGATGGTTTTTTGTACAGCACTTAATCACCTGGACCTCCGATTAAAAGGCTGTCACTTTACTATCCAGGGCTAGGGAGATATTAGTTTTGTTACTATACACCCCATACCCAAATTCCCACCCTATCGACTACCGTCTGTATAGAATAAAAGGCATGCCTTGCCCATCTTGAGATCACTGTGTTGCCAGTTGTTCTTGTCTCCTAGATAGCAACTTGTTGGGAATCTCAAAGTCATTATATCACACATTTACTGGATAGTTAACTCTCATTCCACACTTTTTTACCACCAAACAGAATACAATAGAGACTTGATTATATCTGGGGGCGGATTAACCGATGTAAGTACAGATGCCTCTAAAATGACTGGCTCTTTTTTCTTCAGTCTTCAACATAAGTTTTGTCTCTTGACAATCTAGCTCTGTGTATCATCAACATAACTAACCTACAACGCCCAAATCAAATAAAACAACTCTATTTTTATTTGTTTTGGGTAAGGTTACATTTATCTTCAACATAACTAACATAAGTAATGTTACATAGGTTGGTGAGGCTGCACACTGCCATTGGTCAGTCTCTTGACAGACTAGCTCCGTTTATCTTCACCGAGTGGATGTTTGAGAATACCAATCTTCTGCGGCTGCACAAGGCCCTACACACAGCAGACAATCAACTATTCACTCTAGATATAGGACCTCTTGACTGGGAAGCATTCTTCGAAGACATGGCCAAAGGTGTTCGTCGCTACCTCTGCAAAGAAGAAGACTCCACTCTACCAAGTGCAAGGAAAAAGGCACAATGGTAAATACCTTGAGTTTTTGCTAAAATCTATTTAAATTATTGGTTTGTTTGATCATTTTAGTTAAAAATTATGATAAAATCATTTTATCTTTCCAAAATTACAAAATAAATTTTATAATCCATTTCATGTCAGCAATTGTGTTTAAATATTAGTTTAAAAAATATTCTCATGCTAGGCTTTATGGGAATTAAACCTATTTACATACATTGATTGAATACTAATTCTCTTTACACAGGATTAAGATTATTTCAGCTTCTGTGTGTTATAAACTTGTAGATGCTGTGGCAGAAAATATTAAGCAACAGATTTTTTTAAGGCATCTCATAAAGATAGTTTCATTGCACTTTAACACGTTCGCTGCTAAGCACTAGATGCCGCGACGGCGCCAGGAGCTGAACTAGCATTCACCGCTGTGTAACATCGCCGCTGATACACTGAATTACAGTAAAAACAACAGTAGTTATACTGGATAGCAATGTTCTGCAATAAACTGGTTTTGGTTATAGTACTAAGCGATTCTTATAGATAGCAGCACTACCCAGGTTGCAGTCGGTAAAGTAATGTCGCTATCCAGCAGGAAAGAGGTGGACAAAGCCCTGTTCAAAACGACCCTAGTGGTGATTTTGGGAAACTACATTTTTTATTGTCAGAAAAGTACGTCCCCACGAGCTGCAAATAAATATGGGACGCTCGTGACGAGCTGGCTGATCCATGGAAACATTAAACAACAATGAACGGTGACGTTCCGGAACATTCCTAGCTCCTAATGCCTTGGCCCCTCTGACGTTCTGGAACGTCCGTAGCAGCGAACGTGTTAAAACTGGAGAAAACTGTTGTATAATTTGTTGTAAAACAAGTATTTTCTAAAATAATAATACTGTATTTTCCAAGTTTGGATTAGGAAAATCATGACATTAGGTAAGGAGTGTGAACAAATGAAATTATAAGTAAATAACATTTTTTTATAATTAGAGATGGGCGGGATTCAATTATTAGTTTGGGACAAGATTGACTCCATGCAAAAGTTTTTGTAAAAATCTTTTGACTAACCTTTAAAAATCTTGGTGTTTTTTCTTAATCTTGAATACACATTATTGAAAAAAAAAAATAGCAAACAAAATCAATTTTCAGCCTTTGTGGCCCTGATCCACAAAAACCAATAATGGGTATAAACAAACTTCTGACTGGATAATTTTGTATTATGTCCAATTTAACTGTGAAAATCAGTCCTATTATTAAATACCTTTAGTTATTGCAGAATTTTTAAAAAATGTGTAGAGTTTTAAGGCTTGTCATGGTTATCAGCAGGAAAGCGGTTTAGCTTTAACCCTTTGAGTGCTATGCAATGATATATCGTTGTTTACTAAAATCTGTAAGGGATATAGAGAGAAAGTAGCTAAAAACTACTTATTTGAAAAAAAAGTAGCAAAACGGGCCATTGGTGACTTGTATGTTTATAGGATACACTAACAACCACTTAGCTAAAAGATTCGGATTATGAATACCTCACTATGCCCCAGTGGTTGTAGTATATTGCTACAAACACACAGGTCACCAATTATTTTCCACACGGGACGGGATTCGATTCCGAGCAGACAAACTGGCCAAGTGATACACGCCCTAGCCAGGTGGCTATCAGTGCTTGGAGACTGAGGAGTAAAAACCTGTATTTAAGCTGATGTCAAAAGTTTTATTGCTAACAGATGGGGTTACACCTAGTTGTTCAATGTGTTACTAGGTAGTAGCACTAGTTAGTCACAGACTCTTTTGATGATATTTTTCAGTTGAACCACAACTGTGATCATAAATTGTGTTATTGAGGTTTTACTCACAAACAAGTTTTTTTTTCTAAAAAGTTGTGTTATAATAATGTTATCTAACTACATCAAGGTTTAAGACTTTGGTTTCAAATAATGCTATCAGAATGAACATTACAATTTATAAGAAAACTTAGAAATTTACAACTAAATACAGTTTTGTATAATGTTTACTTCAAATACTAAGACCTTTCTTTGTTATATATTTTTTTTTTATTGACTTATTATTCCAAATCAGCCTGGTTAGTAAAATAGTGAAAACAAAACAGTTACAATTCAACAGCAGGTAATAGAAGTAAAAAGTAAACATAAAACGTCTTATAAAATATGAATTATTGACCTGGCACTCGAAGGGTTGATGAGCAGAAATTTTGTAATGTGTGTTAATATAATGTCGTTATGGGAAAACTAATATTTTATGTGGACAGGAAAAAGTGACTAAAGCCACGGTCAGAGTATGATATTTTATTTCATATTCTGACTGATTAAAAGTTTGGTAATCTATTGTCCAAGACACAAATTTGCTGTCCCATACTTTTTTAGCATTATTGAAGACCTATTTAGAATATGTCAGTAATTCTTTCGTCTAACATAACTAACTTGTTATTGACAAAACCTGTATTTGTTTCAGGCTCAAGCTGTTCAACTTCCTGCTTCAAGTTGTTTTGTTTTATCTGCTGTTGATCACGGTCAGATCTTTTGGTAACTTGTCCTACTCTTCAGCTTTTGCTATAATGCCAATCTTTGGCGCAATCTACTTTTACTTGTAAATTCAGCAGATTTGGTGATGGTGTATCAGTATTTATGGATGCTCTCTTGCAAAAACTCTTGAGAAAAGTATTAATTCGAATATACTTAGAAAACATCCATGTTGTAATATGTAGTTTTCATTTTGTTCGGTTTAGATTTGACTGTTAATCTATTTAACATTGATTTTTATAGTGGAGTATTAAGTATTATTAAACTTTGGAAGACTTCTCTGTATGTAGAACGTTGTTGAATCTTTATGCAAAAGTATTACTTACGGTAGTATAAAATGTTTATTAATGTATAATTTTACTATTTGATTTTCATATACTGTTCCAAACTACCAACCAAGTATACAGTAACCAAAATAGTAACTTTTTAAATAATGTCAATGCGATTTTAAGCTGTCGTTAATAAACATGGCATACATTTTGTTTTTGCATTAAATTATTGATATTACTTACTTCTAGTATTTTCTCAGGTCATGTACCAAAAGTTTTTTTTAGGTTTAAATATATTGGTCTCAAAATTTATCTCACCCAAAAAATAACTTTCAGCATTCATCAGAGTATTCATACAAATTGCTTGGATGTAATTTATTTTGATTTAATTAATTGCATTGTCTAAATTAAATTACAGCAACTCAAAAAATTATTTCATCCAAACAGCTACATTTTTTTATCTTAACAGCCACAAAAGATGTGTACTTAAAACTTAACAAAATGTTTGAATATAATGCTTTTAACAAGATTTAGTAGTAAGACTGATGGACCATTTTGTGGTACCCAACAACTTAAACTTGTTTGTATTTATTCAAAACATTGTATGCATCTTGAGAGATCGTTCATACTAAGTAGTCTCAATAACTTGTTATGTTTGTTTGTTTTTTGTTTTTTTTTTTTCATGAGTACAAATCATTCCACTATGTTTGTCCTTAGCACTTGTTCATGATTCAAATAATCCTATTAAGACATTAAGAAGTCCATACTTTTTAATGTTAATAGTTTCATTCCATTACATTACACAAATATTGTAGTTTGTAGGATTATATTATTTGTTGTTTATTTGATTCAAGTACAATTGTTTTAGTTTACTTATTTTTGTTATGACTATTGTCAATATTTAACCATTTGTTTGTATATCAATTTAAATACCATATATTGTGCTTAATAGACAACTATTAAAGGTTCTCAAATATTATGTTTTGTTATTTATTTACAGCAACTTTCTTGCGTACAATTGCTCATAATCTCCTTACATGTTTTAACACCATTGAACATATACATAATTGTAATAACATTATTTTTCAGTAATAAGTAATATTCTAGTATATGCCACTTGAATGCTAGTTCTCTCCTGGTGTTGTATAGTGGGATTGTTTACATTCATTTTACAATATTGAACTCAGAGGATAAGCATACTTGGGAATAACGAATAGCGATATTAGTTAGTTTTTTCGGCTAACTTCTATTTTATTCGTTAGTTTTTAAAAAGTGCTGTAAATAACTTCTACTCAGTTAGATTTATTTATAGCTAACTAATAGATAATATATTCGTTAGTTTTAAATTGTTAGATTTTTTGTCAGGCGAAAGTATCTCGAATACGGGTTATTATTTTACGTGATCAGTGAGGGCTGCAAGCGGCCGTGGGGGGTCAGCGCCCTTGTTGACAAACAACGCGGGGGGTGGGGAAAAAGAAATTTAAAGTCCAGTATGCTAAATGATTACTGAGAACAAAACTGTAAATTTAAAATTCACATGTTATACTTATGGTGGCTAAGTAAACGATTGTAGTTTGCTTGTTTATGGATATATTTTGCTATAAAACACACTTTATATAATTTCTTGTAGCAGCACACTTAAGTACTCATTAAACCTATCTGACATACGAAGGTAATGTGCTTTCAGGAAATGTACGCACAGCGTTATTGTGAACGTGAAAGGGTTGAAAATATTCTCTTTCCCTTGTTCCTAAGCAAAGACCTGGTTTAAAAATTTGTTTAAATGGTATTGTCTGTGGTACAAATGTGTTTGACTAAACGTTAAAAAAACATTAAACATCATGTTATTTGATTATTTGCTATCATGCAAACTCTTTGTATCTTTTTTCTTCATGATATGAAAATTTCATTTATTTGGACGTTAAATGTAAGAAGAATTTTTATTTTATTTTTAACAACAAAGACCTTGAGTGCTTAGTTTTGTCACCTTAATGAACTGGGGAAAAGGTTGACAAAGAAATTTGTGAAAATACAAACATTTATGATTACTTAACCCTTTAAACGTTTTCCCAAATTGTATGGTTTTGCTTGGAGATGAAATTGTTTCCAGTGTGGTCAAAATGTTAGGCAGAAAATTCTCACACCGAGGCTATGCAAAGCATTTGCTTGTCCCATGCACTTTGTAATGGTTTTTGTATCTTCGTTAACTGAAGTCCTTGTATTTAAGGATAAACTGATGAGCATGTAGCCTAATCATACAAATCCAAAACATAAGTTACTACTAAAATATGTTTGGGTAAGAAAATAGATACCTAACAAACAATAATAATTATAACTTTATTTCCAAAAATAAGTAAAAATAAAGGAGGTCTGAATTCTGTTCAGGAAGTAAAGAATGTTTTGTAACAAAATAAATAGTTTGTACAAAAAAAAATTGGTTTATATACATTTAAAAGATCAACTAAAATACTACTTTTCCACATAGCCGCCAAATAAGTTGAGGCATTTTTCAAAGCTGTGGACGGGCTTTGAAATTCATATGTCGTAGGATTCCGTCGCTTGTTAGCTTAGCCGGTGACACGCAATTGGAGGTCCTCGCCATAACCAAAGCACTCTGCTGGTAACCAAGTCTTCCTTTTTTCCGTTTTTTCGACCTTCCTGTGAAAGTCACTCGGAAGTCACACAGAGGCCAGGTATAAACTGTGAGGTGGTGGTTGAGGGTAAATCTCCTATTTGAATGATTAAAGGAGACAATGTGTCAGATTTGTCGTGTAACGTCGGTCATTGCCATCCCATAACAAAATTTTGGATGTCGACTTTAGTTCGGCCATTTTGAAATTGAGTACACCATTACCAAACAGAACTTCAATTCATTACATTGTTTCCGTATACTCAATAATAAATGTCTTTAGGTTTTATTAAGAGTATGGACAATAAACCGTATTACAGACTGCACCTCACAACTGGTGGTGAAAATCCCGCAGCACACTTTTTAAACTTTAATATTGCGACAACGGGCAACACAATGACACAAGGAGAGTCATTTAGTAGGCTTATACGTATGTACTAGGGAGTACGTGACCAGCGCGCCTCAGACGGAAACGTTCCTTACTTTCTGAACAACCTTCATACAAATTCAAATCATGATATAATAGGTTCAAATATAAGCAATGTTGTGAACCTCTAATCGTTTGTTGGAGGGATTACTGTTTCATTGACAATAAGGGAGTATATGAGGCCTTCTCTTTTGTTACAACTGGTGACAGCCTTAATGTAAGCAGGGGTCGATCCAAGATGAAAATGAGTTTCTGTGCCGTCATCTACAAACTCGCCCTGTAAAAATTCAATTTTATGTATTCATCATTTCATTACAAACTTAGTAGAACTGTGATGTTAACAACCAAATCTCAAACCTCAAAATTACTGAAAATTCTAAAGAGGTTTGGTTTTGGCATTCAAAAATCAAAACTCAAAAGGTAAATTTTTCTGCCATAATTATTTTTTCATAGAAATAATGTCAAGGGTCACAAGCCATTCTGTCATTTTTCTCTGGTAATGTAAAAACATCATATCAACAAGATTAATTTATTTTCCCATTCGCTCAACTAAATAGTTGTGTAATATCCAATAACCCAGATTTTGCCCCCGTTCTCTCCGTAGTGCGTGTCCTGCCCACCTTATTCTCCTTGCTTTCACAAGGAAACAAATCACATTTTCTTAGTATTTCACTACTCACAAACTATACTATATAGATAAACTGCAATTCTAGTATTCAGAGCTGAATTTAAAACACTTTTAAACATTTTGTTAACATTCTGAGAGAAGTCGAAACAAAGAAATCATGTAAGTAAATTTGCTACTGTACATTGTCCAATGTTTCGTAACCATAACCAGGCAAGTAAAAAGGTTTTTATTCTTCCAGGATAGGCTTATATAAAAAGTGTTTTCTTAATTTGAGTTACTTTAGATTTATAGAGCTATAATGATTGAAGTCCCTACTTCTCAGTGTAGCTTGTAATTCCAATCTTTACAGTTGCATACAGAGCTGGCTAGGGGAGACTGGCAGGCCCTGGGCCCCGAAGGGGGCCCGGCATGGTCAAATGTAATTTGTTTCTGTACATGGAAGTTAAAAAGTATACTATGGTTTTCCAATTCACTAAGTTTTAATTTAACTTTTGACTTGAATAAAGTTTCAACTGTAAGCACGCGAAATTATCAAACCATCAGGCATTTTAGAATTGTATTGTTATTCATGTAACAAAACGCCACTGTGGTAGACGATTAATATTCGTCGATGCACGGATTAACAGCGATTAATAAAAAATCTTAAGTTAATCTCAACAGTATACAAATTAATCAGTTCATATTTTATAAGCCTCGACTTACATACCGGTATGGTATGGTTAAAAACTTAAGTAATAAATCAGGAAAATAAGGGGCGATTCTCGCTGGCCCTGGTTGCATAAAGCGAATAGCATTGAAATTTTACAGTGTGACTTGTATCTTTGAATTTTTCCACCTTCAGAAACTAAACTTCATTTATAAAATTGCTTATACTTTAAAATATTTATAATGTATGATGTTGGTTCTTTACGTGGGTTGGCTTATAGATTTTCACTGAAGAATTATTGTGTTTAACAAAATATACTTCAGGAGGAACAAAATGTTGTCAACCAAGTAAAAAAAAAAGAAAAACCAAAACCGCTTTTTAATCATTAGTTTGTACAGTAGACTCCCTCTTATCCGGACTCCTCGGGACCAAGGCCAGTCCGGATAACAGTTTTTCCGGTTAAACCGACGTCCCCAAAAATTTGTTAAAACGGACCATTTAAATGCATACTGTATACATATTTGACTTAAATTTAGGAGAGCATTGTATTTAGACACGTGATCACTGGTCTCAAATCTTTCCCACAACAACAGTCGTTTCAGTACCACCCACTTCCTGTCGATCTAGTCCGGTGAAACCGATGTGCTGATAAAAATTGTCCGGTTAAAGAGATGTCATTTCCGCCAAGTGTAGTCCGGTTAAACTGATGTCCGGTTAAAAGGTGTCCGGATAAGAGGGAGTCTACTGTGCCTTGAACTTTTCCGTTTCAATTACTGATATAACAATAAAAAGTTGTTAAGTCTTACATGAAAAAATCATAACATCAAATTGGTTAAATAAATCTTATTTATTTAAGGCTAAAACTGTTCTAAATTGTATATAAATGCTATTTTCTCTTAATATTTCCATTTATTACTTTAGGGTTGAGGTTGTGAACCTGTACAACATTATGTCTGAAAATTTGTCTTTAAAATTAGTAATTTGCTTGGTAACAGTTATTTTCATTGATCTGTTACAAAAGTATCATGTTAGTTCTGTAAAAGATAATTCGTGCATGTGTTTTGAAAATACCAACAAAGTGTTACTAGCAATAGTGTAATTGACAAGCAAAGATAAATTTCTATGTATCCAAGAACACCCTGCCCTACACTAAAAACCATAAAATAAATAATTGTAATAAGCAATAAAAAAGTGCCTATTGATTTTAATCTTCTCCAAATATTTTACTTTATAAAGTATGTAAACCAAAGGTGTGTGTGACAGATTTACTGTTTAGGTTTAGGTAGATCAATAACAGCACACAACAACTACATAGAGGGGGGGGGGGGGGTTCATTGATTCCTTTACTATGTTATTAGTCTTGCAATAGCTATGTGTCTCAGAGTCCTTTGTTAAACCCAACTAAAAATAGAATAGCCAAGAAAAAAATGAGACGGTAACAGAATACAAATAAATGATTTTTAGTTTGAATCTCAGGTCAATGATATTATACTTCAAATTATATTCTGTCATAATTATCATCACAGATAATTATAGATTTTTTGTCTCATAGGCTACTTATACATAAATCTGTAATTATCTGTAACAATAATTATGGTTATGATTTTTAGCGGTTTAAAAATAAAAAGTGGAAATTTATATTGTAGTTTTAGGTTTTACGTAGATATTTTTAACATGTTTGTATTCACAAATTTGTTTAATATGTTTGTAGTTAGTAGTACACTTTTGAAACTGAGCTATGATGTTGGCCCGAGAGGTTGTGAAGGGACCCTTGGCTTGTTACAACGTTCTAGAATACGTAAGGTGTGGTTATGTGGAATATTTGCAAGTAAAATATAATCGGAAAATTTATTAAAAGATACGTAGAAATGTGTGATTTTCACTTTAATCCATGCAAAGATTTTCCCTTGACCCCCTTTTTGTTGGGGGAGATTTCATACCCCTAGACCCCCCGGTAAGTCGCCCCACTGTCGCCCAGTAGAAATCCTTCTTATATGCTCTTCAAAAAAGTGTCAGTCTATAAAGCTAACTATGTTTCTCATCCAAGGTTATAAATAAATTATTATACTTACTGCAACATCAAGCTTTTCTCCATTTGCCCAAACATCAAGAGTGTCTTTTTCTGTATAAAGAACAAACACATTTTTTTAGTATATGCAGTAAGATACAAATTTAACTACCATCTTGCAGTAACTGCAGTAGAATTGTATTTCTGTGGTATAAACTCAGACAGCAACTTTTTGGAATATCCCTAATCACTACCAATCAGCCTTAGATATCATTTTGGAATATCCTCTACCACTCTCAATGCTCAACCTCAGGTGATTAGTGTTTCCATGTTGTAATTTTAAATATCATCCATTCTATTTGTCTGTGTGATACATTTTCTTTAGTGTAAAACATGGGCGTCCATACATATAAGCAAGAGGGGGCTTGGGCCCCTTTTTGATGTATTTTGCCCTTTACTTCTCTATTACTATATTTATTAGTTTATTGAATTATTAAAGACAAAATTCTAATAGTGTTTAAAACATAATGTCTGATAAAAATAATAGTTACAAACCTCCAGTATGGAAAACAATTACCCAGGCACACACAACATTACATGACACAGTCATTGTTATTAACCGTAACCTCACGCTACATCATTGATTCTTGTTTTCACATTGTAATTACAAAGACTGACACTGCTATTATTTACGTTCTGTAGACTGCTCGTTCGGCTTGCCAATAGTCGGCGGCCAGTAAACAGCTAGTATCACGGATTACAGAATGGATGTATATGTCCACTCTTTAATCTGTATTAGTACCGTGTGATTTTCATTTTTAGGTTATTGCAGATCATTCTAAAATACTCAATTGTTTGAAGAACTCATTTTAACAAATCCCAAATTACACGTTATTTTTACTTTTCTTCAAACGGAAGCATACTATAAAAAGTAATTATTGTTTATCTTGGATAAGCCAAGGGTTCGGATAACCGGGGCTTGGATAATCAGGGCTCGGAAAATCGGAAATGTACTCTAATTTTAACTATTTTTCAGCGATGATCCCAGATCCCTCTTTACTGGTGGTTATTCCGTACCTCCCATACTCCCCGGCCCCCTATGGAAAAGTTAAATGGACGCTCATGGTGCAAAAGTTTATCTCTTTCCTGATGCTCCATTTATGATCAGAGGATTATAACTCTTTTCTGTGTTCCAACCATGACAATGAGAATTACTTTTCTTGATTTACTGTATCTCGAGTTTAACAGTAGGCATATTTTCATAAGTTTAAACAATCATTTTCATTGTATATATGTTAACCTGGTCCAGATTGCTAAATAATATTAAAAATGGTTTAAATACATGCTATTAGACAATCCATTCAAAATGCAAAAGCAACTAGTCTATGCTTCTATATGGAGACATCATCAGCACAAGGTAGTTTTTCTTTCACATAAAAATTGTCAAATTAAGATGATAGTAAAGTTAACATTTTAAAAGGGACACAAACGCATATGATGCATTTATTGGAAAAAAAATTAAGTCTTAAATACTTTCTCTGGAATTATAACACTGCACTAACATTTCACCAAAAGTTTTATTTTTATTTTCAATTCTGCATTAGATTTATGGTTTAAAAATTATTAACCTGACACTAATATTGACATTTTATGTCTTTAAGCAATTAATTGAGTGTTTACCTAAAACAACTCTGTACATATCTTGAGAGAGTTGCACCAACCATGTGCAACAAGCTTTTGATTTGGCCTCAATGAACTTGTTCAGACTCTTGCCGTCGACCAGTAGTGAGTACTCGTAAGCAAAACCTCCGCTGGGGTCCACTCTAACAGTAAACTTGGTCTTGCCTAGGTAGAACACCTCCTCTCCAACTAGACGAAACATCCAGTCTTTCCTCATTATCTCCTGAAAGTAAACAACAGTGTGAACTTGTTAAGGTTGAATCAATAAGTCGTTGCAGTGGCCACCTTTAAATCTAAGAGGTTTGATGCTGAGAAGAATCTATTTGACCAGTTACATTTGGTAGTTGGGATCTTCATTCATGTTTTTAGTGACTGGTAAACTAAATAAAGCTGGTAAAGCTAGGCTTGGATTATCTCCTTACAAAAACATTACAACCATAAAATAAAATATAAAAATAAAACATTAAGAAAAACCTTAAACCAAAATTGAACCAAAAGAAATTTTCATTGAAACCATTCTTCCTATGAAAAATTTTATCTTATTAAGTGTATCTGCATACTGTACTAAAAGTGCTATCCTTAAGCAGATGGTTATGTACTTTTTAAAATGTACATCATTATATTCTAACTGAAAATAATTTTCAGTAATTCTATTTTCTTTTTAAAATTTTATTAACAGCTGATTACAAACAGAAAAAATAAAATTACCATACATACATACATATATATATATATATATATATATATATATATATATATATATATATATATATATATATATATATATATATACACCTTACTACTATATATAAACCGTGTTCCAAAAAGAATGGATCAAATCTACAGCCTATATTTATTTTAAACCTACATCTGTATCTTGTGTCAACTAAATACAAACCACACATTGGTACCTATAGATCTCCCCTTCCTCCTTCTCATCAACATACAGTGTGAGGAAAAAAGATTTCTCTTATACTATCTCGTGACAATTTCTAGTGTAAGTGTAGATATATTGTATAGTGTTGGAAGGCATATTGTGTTTACATGCATAGCAAATTGCATTCAATAACTAAGAGAGTATTTTATCACGGGAAAAATATATAACCTTCTCGTCCACGATAATGACACGTTTCCCACTAGCGGTGCCATGCTGAAACTCCACCTTGTGTACACCGTCAGGTAGAGGGACTTCCCAAGTAGCCACCACATCTCCACTCATGGTCTCCTGAAATGTGATACCCTTCAAGCTGTGAAGTAATTTTGTATCCCTTTTAGTTCCAAAGGCTGATATGGTGCACAAGAGTAACACAACAAAACTTCCATTTACAATATCAGTGTTTTTGAACGGTCAGGAGAGGGCAACATATAGCAGGTGTAGATGCTGTCGCAATTAGTTCTGCATGACAAAGGCATGGTGGGAAAGGCCCACCTAAAATAAAACAGTTGACTACCTTTGTTGTTGTTAGTTCTTGAGTAGGTGTAGGTAAGATGTTTTTGTCACCCTGCATTCTGCCAGCTTGTGTGACATCTTCAGGAGTCTTCCTAAGCTATCTTCTTATCACTAATAATATAGTCTATACTGTAATAACAAAAATACAGTATAGAAGTGTTAGTGATAAGAATATAACTACTTACGACGACCTCTGAAAGACGCCTCCATGCATAGGGTGGCACAAACATATTACCCACTCAAAAACTACAGGTGACAAAAACCAAGGTGATCTAATACAATTCACTGAGATAAAAAATAAAATAAATATAAACAGTTCATTGCAACTGCTCAGCTGAAAGACAGGATGGGTGTAATCGTTGTGAGTGGCTGTAGAATCAGGTGTTTACCACTTTTTGTTTGTCCTAACTGTGTGCATGTGCCCATTTAAAAGTATTTTGATTCTGTACCCATATAACAAGGGAAAACATTGCATGAATAGACATAGTTAAGTTGGGATAGTGATGAAAATATATTTTAATGTACCGTAAGAAATTCCTGTAGCACAGAAAACAATTCTACCTAAGCAGTCTTAATAGTTAAAAATACTATTCACACAAGCAGGAGAATTCTTATACATATTAAAGAAATGTCAAACCCTTGGACGAAAAGATGTTTTTGTTGTTTTGGTTTACATTAGAAATGATAAAAAATAACCAACAAGGGAGGGAATAAACATAAGCTAAGATGAATAACGCAATGAGACAATAATTTTGTTACATGAACATTTACCTAGACATACAAGTCGTCACAATAACTATATTTAGAGTCATTATGTTTGAATTTTTTATGTCAATTTCCAAAACAGAGTTTTTAATTTCTAAATAACAAGTTAACAATAATTCTATTTACTAATAAATTGTGTGTTGCTTATTTATTAACTTGTATTTTTTTATTAGGCCTACTTTTGTCCAACAAAATAGCAGTTTTAAATCTAATTGATTGAGATGCGTAAGAAGTGAATTTTGTTAATTTTCAAATTGCTTTGATTTGTTGTGTTGTTGTTGATCTCTGTATTCTAGATGTTTTTTAAGTAATTACAATCTAGGAATAGATATGGAATAACCACAATGGGAAATAGGTATAAAACTGACTTTACAAAGGCCGGTATTACACTATCATAGTTCTATGACATATTATATTATCAAATATATGATAATATGTTCTCTCAAGGAGAACATATTATCATAGTTCAAAACCATTATAATAGTTGGTACATTACACTGTAATAATTTTCATCAAAGACATATGATAATATATATATGTCATAGAACTATGATAGTGTAATACGGGCCAAAGCAGTAAAATAAAATACCGTATTGTTTTCATTATCAATGGTGGAAAGTCACGGCAATACTCCTTTAAACAATGTCAACACCAACAATGAACTCTAAACCAAAAACACTTTTGATTGAAAATGGCACTATTTTAAGTTAAAAAGAAAATTAACTCTTGTTGAAATTTTTTAATAAATTCAGTTGCAAAACTGCATAATAAAATTAGTAGGTATTCAAGTGTGTCAATATCTACAGCAGTATGATATCATATTAAACCATTACACAAAAGTAGGGTTAGGTCATTACACAAACTTTTCAACAGAGGTAAGGTTAGGTCTAGATTAGGTCTACTGTTGTCCTTAATTGCGTTAGAGTTATTTTTCTACTTTACCGTGAGGGTTGAGGACAGACCAACTTGTTGTAGAGCAACCGATGCAAGCGAAGGACGTGCAACAATTGACAGGAACATTTTGACATCGAAGTGTGAAGTAGAGCAATATGTTTGTTCTTGGTCGCCTAGCAACCAAAACACAACACAACACTAAATAAAGTGCACACCACGTCGATCGAAAATAGGAAATGATTGTCAATTAATTATTTGCATACTACTATCCATTTCGGCACTTCCCTATATTTATATTAAGGTTTAATACTATGACATTTATAATACAAATATGGACATTATTTTAGTATGTTATTGTTAGTTATTGGTACTCCTATATTTACCTAACTTTTCATATACAGGGTGTTAATTACCTGTAAAGCGTAGCGGGCTATGCAGATTCAGATTCTACATGCAAAAATAAGTCGAAAATAGAGAATAATTTTTTTTCGATTTCGACTTAGTTAAGCCGTAATCCGCCATTTCGTATTTTTTTGAAAATAATTAATAACTCAAAAGCCCTTGGAGATATTTTTATGAAACTTGGTATAAACTTTAAGGCTACACGTATTAACATTCTCCGAAAATATCTTTGATCAGGCTCATCTAATGTCAAAATGGTGGTCATTTAAAATTTGGTTTTAATGGCTGTTTTTAGTTTTAATGGCTAATTAACATTTAGTTGATTTTTACTTAAACAATTTTAAATGGCCGCCATTTTTAAATTTGATGAGCCTGATCAAAGATATTTTCGGAGAATGTTTATACCTGTAGCCTAAAAGTGTATACCAAATTTCATAAAAATACCTCCAGGAGTTTTTGAGTTATTAATTATTTTCAAAAAAATACAAAATGGCGGATTACGGCTAAACTAAGCCGAAATCGAAAAAAAGTTATTCTACATTTTCAACTTATTTTTGCATGTAGAATCTGAATCTGCATAGCCAGCTACGCTTTACCGAAACACCCTGTATATATACATGTCCCTATGTATTCAATTACTCCACCCATCTGTTGATTCATCCCTTTTATTTGTATATTTCTTTGTCAATTTAAGCCTTTACTAAAATATTTAACAAAGGAAACATAATATAGCCTTTTCAGACGTATTTAATATGTAACACTTTTGTTTAGACCAGGTAGCCAAATTAGCTGCAAGAATAGTTTTTGGCGTCAAGAATGTTTGCTCAAGAACAAAGTGTTGCGAGGTCACAAAACACAGAACTTAGTGAAGACTGGCATGACCTTATCATGTTAATTCAAATGATCTGCATGTTTTTGAAAAATTATATTGCCATGTAGTGTGTCAAAGAAAACCCTTTAAAGTAATGTTTAGACCCACAGATCCTTCAGTTGCTCTCCAAACAATTGGTTTTTAGATCCACTCCACCCCTGACTTTACCCTCTGCCTATCTGTATTTTTACACATAGGTACTTACTATTTTTCTACCTCTGAAACTGAAATCAATTCATGTAAATTCCAAATTAGGTCTTGACATTTTGCTGATTTACCGGTAGCTGTTATTACTGCTCTTGACGCTGAGACAATTTAGTAAGTTAGCCTATTTTATTTTTTACTTGTAAAAGTTTCTCTGAGTAACTAACACCATTGTTGCTAGGGCTACACAGCACAATAAATTCTTTTTTAAACTAATTTAGGTTAAATTGTAATAACAAATTTAATTTTAGCTTTCTACAAATTACAAGTGTGAGGTAATATAAGTGAAATGAGATGTAGTGATGGACTGTGATTGTACGACAGACACGAGTGGACTTTGTCAGACAGAGGTGAGACTATAACACTCAGTCGAAGGAGGAAGTGGATGATTCTGGCTGCCAACCATGGCTGTACCTGAAGAGGTAACATTAATCTGCCCTGTCATAATTGGTAAACACTGTTCGCATGCTACATGATTAAAGGAAACATTGCTGTTCATTTAATTTATTCGTTGAAGACACATTCATCTGTAACTGTTTTGGAATCCTGCAAATTGCTTAGGTTTGAAATGGTTTACGGAATAGTCAAAACACACACAAATATTTAGCTCTGGACTTGCACATCCAGTATGGTTGCATTGTCATTGTTAGGTGGGTTGACTGTTGATTGTCTTCAACTAATGTTTAATTGTTTTATGTAGCTTTACAGAAAACTATATGAATCTCAATTTTTTAAATTTTTACTGGGAAAACTTTTTGTGGCATTTGCTTACAGTACTTGAATAACTTGTGGTTTTATTTATTTTCCCAGTGGCAAGAACAAGAAAATTGAACTATTTAAGTTACCTTGTTAAGTAGCCGTTGTTCTTGCAGAATTTCCTGTTCTACTAATAAGGCTACTAAGTTATTACCATAATTGGATCTCAAGGAAACTTAAATAATTCAACTCGAATAACTGTAGCATATAAGACTTAATTATGTGTACTCTAATAGCTTACTTTTACAGTAATTTTTAACACGACCGATGACTCGTACAAATTGAAGGAACAGGTAGTAAAAATACCCAAAAACTAATTCATGCAAAGAGTTTAGTACAATGAGGTAAAAAGTCTAAAGAATTGTTGATAAAGACACTTATATTGAATCATCTAGATTTTATCATATATCTCTGCTACACTGGCCACTAAATGTTATAATCTTTTATATAATCAAGGATATCCACCCAAGATGCTTATCGAGTATCATCCAAAGTTTAATGTTTCAGCTGGACTAGAGAATGTTCCATTACCGCCGTAAGGTCACGAATTCTAATTCTGTGGTTTTCTAAATCCTATAATTAATTTTGTAGTTATTTATAATTTAATTACAGTTGTCCTCTGTATGAGGTAACGTACTATATGTTTTTTATGTACAACCCTTCCACCTGTTGTTGGTTAAAATTTATTCCTTAATTGTTGTAACTAACCAAAAACTCTGTCAAGTTCCCCACACTCACACTCGTTGTTCGGCTGGACCTGACCTGCCGCCAGTTCTAGCCCTGCCGTCCGAAAATGATTTAGAAACAAATCAAATGGACCTAGAAACTGAAAAAGCGGTTGATTCAATAATTGATCACTCCTACTTCACTAACTCAAATATAGAAAACACCCCAACAAAAAATCCCCATGATCAGTTGTCACCAACTGATGAAAATAAGACACTAAATTACCATAATCCCCTCCCCCCACCCAAAATAAAAACAAATGCTGTAAAGTTTTACTCTTCTGAAAACAAAAGGGACCTTTTGAAGTTACCATTCAGGACAAAAAAAACCCTTCTCAGATGGTAAAATACTTGAACAACATCACAAGGGCATAAACTTTATAAATAGAGTAGGTAGATACCTCTCAGTGGTATGTAAGGACCATAATGCTGCAAATAGCCTTGTTCTATCCCCCTATTTTCCAGACTAAAATGTTTTTGTTCCGTCAAACAGAGTTCATTCAGTAGGTGTGGTTTACATTGAACCAGATATTAGTGAAAATGAAATTATGGATGGTGTTGAATCAAGGTACAGCGTCATCGATGTACAAAGAATCAAAAGATTTGTGAACAAAGAACTGAAGGATACCCACTTTGTAAAATTAACTTTCGAATCAGATATTCTACCCCATTACGTCTACCTCAATTATGTGAGGGTCAAAGTTGAATACTACAGGATTCCTGTAAAACAATGTTTCACTTGTTTTGCCTATGGTCACACAGCTAAGTCCTTGTACTAAAACCAAAATCTGTAGGGACTGCAGCGAGCAGTTTCACAGCGGTGATTGTGACAACCAACCTCGCAAATGTGTACATTGTTCAGGCCCTCACTCCAGCAACTCCCAAAACTGTCCAGAATATATTAGGCAAAGGAATATCCAAGATCACATGAGCATTTAATAGAACAGATTACACTTTACTGCAAGCAAACAATTTCCAATAACATACCAAAAAAGTCCAACAAAGTCTACTATATAGCTCCCAATCCTATGCACAGGTTACAAAGAGCGATCAGTGTTCTTACCAATACCCCACTAATTCTTTTTAACTCAATCTACAAAATAGCTTCTCATCCCTACAAGAGATTGACGAAACAGAACCATTGACAGAAAACTCTCCATAATCACCACTCATTAAACCAAAACAACCTGTTACTCACCAAAAAGGCCATCACACTTACCAAAGGAACAATGGAAAAGCCTAATAGAGTGCAAACAACCCAAAAAACATTGGGTGTCTATCGAACTGCTAACTCCAATACCAGTTCCATTGAAAAGGCAGGCTCATCCAACACTAGCTCAGTACAAAACTATGTCAGAGATCAATTAATTAAACAAATATGCCTGAGACTTAAGTCCCCTACCATAACAACGTTTCAACAAGTTGATGAGATGTTAGTTTCGCTAGTGGCCCCACACCGGACCAATAAAACGTTGACGAATAAAAACAATCAGACATTGAATGACACTAAACCTGGTAACACAATTCAATCATAGGTTACATCTAAAACTGGACATTAATAACCTAAACATAATTCAATGTAATGCCAGATCTATAAAAGCAAAATGGCCAGAACTTACTCATTTATGACGAAAAAATCCACATAGGACTTGTCCAAGAAACCTGGCTGAAGGACAATGACATTCTCACCGACAATAATTATCTCATTCATGGATTAAACAGACCTGATGGTTATGGAGGCATAGCCTTCATTATTCATAAATATCTATTAATTAGCCCAGTGTTGGACATAAATACAGCTGGACTACAACTACAGGTTTGTCATCTATCGAATTTTAAAATACCCATCACTATTTACAACATGTATGTCACCAATCAATCAGTAGATCCAGAATTCTAGTACAACAAATTAGTTTGCCATGACAATGGCTACTTGATAATCTGTGGAGATTTTAACCCATACTGGAGTGACGGAAAAGGTAATACGAGAGGATATGATATTTTCCATGAGTACAACAACTCATCATTCATTTTACTTAACGATAAATCTCCAACAACCGCACCAACCATGTTTCAGAGAAATGCCACAGTCGATCTATCATTCTGTACCCCTCATCTGCACGCTCTCCTTCAAAAGTGGGAGGTAACAAGTGATGCCTTAGATAGCAATAACTT